ATATGATAGCTCGGGCAGCGCGCCGTGTCGACCGCGTCTGCTGGGCGCACAGCGTCACTTGCGCCTCTTCCAGCCGTGGCCGACCCCTCACGCCAGCCAGCCCAGCGTGGCCCCTTGCGCGTCCTAAAGACCGCGAGACGTTCGGTGACGGGAACCTCATCGCTGCACGCAACGCTTTCCGCCACACGCAAATCCCTCGTGTCCCAAAGACGCCACGCCTCACCTGCGCGCTGAAGCAAGCACGTCTCGTAAGGCGCCTTCTCGACCGCCACGGTCCCAAGGTCCTTCTGCGCAGGGCGCCTGCCCCACACAGACGCGTAACCGCCTGGCGCCTCCCACCAGTTGTCGACGCTTGGAAGGTGGTCCAAGCAAGTAAGCACTCCAGGCTCCTCAACAGGGCGCCCAACCGGGCCGCTCCCGCCCCACACCGAAGCGAGAACGGTCACCGCAGCAAGGACCGATAGCACACCGATCCTGGCGCCGGTACGCAGCCGCCCAAAGGACCGCGCACACGAGGAACAACCTTGGAAGCTTCTTGCCGCGGCCCTGGACCCGCAAGCAAAGCACGGGTCATGGTCAACCGATGCAACGGCGACCCCACAATCCGCACATGCTTGCGGAGACGGCTCTGACTCGAACACCGTCTCAATCGCGCCACAACCACAGGCCGCGGTGCTGACGAGGCCGGAACGCACTTCCGCCACAACCTCGCCCGGCTGGAGAGAGTGGTCACACTCTTGGGCTGCAAGCAAAACAAACCCTTTACCCTCTCCTGTGGGCCAGAGACCTGGCACAGCCTCAACCCCACACTCAACCGGAAGCACGACCTCGGACAGGGATCCCTCTGCGGAGACTCCCGACTCCCGCACGACCGGCGCCAGCACCCCATCGCCTGGCGAGAGCTCGAGCGGCTCTTCCCCGTCGTAGCGGAGGAGCTCACGACTTCCGCCCCCAGGCTCGGTGCATGACGCGTCGTCCAGGCTCGACAACCGCGCTTCAAAGGCATAGGCCCTGTCCTTCCGAGTCCTACTGTGGTCCTCACACCTGGGCATCCTGATTCCCAGCGTGTCGAGGACGTGAAAGTCGGGACCCGGCCTGAATCCCAAGCCCATCCTTCCGGCGCAGTCCAACGCTCTGCCGCCAAGGATAAGCCCGTGCCAATCGGACGTCCCTCTGGCAGCGATTTTGCATCGCACGAAAATCTCCGTGTTGGGGCGACAGTCGTCCGCCGTTTTGCCTTCCAGCAGCGTGACGCGCAGGACTGCTGCCCCCTTCAGAGGAACCGGGGCTCCCGAAGCTATGCCATGCACATATTCGGGTGGACCCACTTCTCAAGTCTCACGACCGGGAAGCTAGGATCCTCCGTGCTGATCCCTAGCTCCGCAGCCCGGTTCATCATGCCTACCACGAGTTCCTCAGTCACGTGGTTTGCACCGGCGCAACCGTCAAGCATGCACTCGACCTTGCGGTCGAGGACCTGGACCACCGTTCTGTACTGGTAGCCTCCTGGCTCGTTGTCTGCCAGGTTCCACCAGTCCTTCGGCAGATCGTCCAAGGTGGCGAACTTGTCCCGCCCGCCCTTGCTTAACGGAAGCGCGCGCTGCTGCACCGCGGCGTGTCCTGCGGCTCCTAAGACGCCTGCCTGGACGCCTGAGCTGCCTATCTGGACACTGAACGCGGCGAAGGGGTTAGACATGGAAGCACCGGAGGGCGGGGCCCAGTTGGCAGGCAAGGCCGGCGTCCCTCCTGATGTCGTCAGGTTGTGGACCATGTCGCAGCTGGCTCCTTTCTTGCACGACCCATTCTTGGAGAAAAAGGGGCAAACAGTGCCTGGTGGCTTTGCCGCGCCTTTGGCCGCAGCCTTAGGCTTTGCGTTGGCTTTTGCTTTGCCACCTCCCTTCCCTTTGCCTTTACCTTTCGCAGTGGCAAAGGTTTGGTCACCCTTCTTGGCCGCGAGAGCTTTTCTGCGAAGCTCCTTGTCGTGGCTGTACGGGCAGGCATCCCCTTTCGGGCAATTCCCATGATCGCGAAAGTGGAAGCAGATCTTCTTGTCCGCTCCTTTGCCAGCTCCCTTCGACGTAGCAGCATACGTCTGGTCCGCGCCAGCTTTGGCCGCGGCAGCTGCTCCTTTCGCAGCAGCCTTCGCAGCGGCCTTGAGACTCTTAATCTCCTTCTGAGCCTCAGCCAGCGCGACCGCCGGGTCCGCGCTCTGCGAACCGGTGGCAGTGTACACAGAGTGGGAAACAGCCCTGTGCGCTGCTTCTCTCTGCTCGTACTCCAGAACGACTTTGTGGCTCTCCTCCCAAGTCTGCGGTCCTCGCAACCCGCCATCCTTGGGGTCGCCAGGCCACAACCTTTTGTCGTTCCGGATCTCCTTTTGGAGATAAGGGGGCATCTTGCGGAGGTATGAGAGATACAACTCTCGAGGGGTCTTCCCGAGACCTACTGCCTCAAGGTCCGCGATCGAGGCCTCAAACAAAGGCTCGAATTGGTGGCCTGTGAGCTTACCCTTAGCGAGAGAGGCGTGCTCACCATCCACGCGGACTTCTCTTTCCTCCCGCGATTCCCCGAACATCAAGTGCTTGTTCTTGATGCGGTCATACACCGCCTGTGGATCTGAGAGAACCTCTCCCGACTTCCACGCTGCGCGGTACGCGTTCGTGTACGTCTTCATGCGAGAGCCGCGGCAGCGCCCGCGTAGCGCTAGCAGCTTTTCGCGCGCACTCATACCGCGACAGTTGTTGGCCAGCGCGCAGACGTCCTCGAACTCCTCGTAGAACAGGACAACGTCTCGCGCGTCCGACTTGTCGTCTGTCAGCGTCGGCCACGTGAGGTCAGTTTTGACCGTAGTTATGGAGCTTTGCCCGCCCCTCTGCGCTAAGGCTTCTTTCAGCGCCTCAGTTTGGGCGGCGAGTGCGGCGGCGAGATCGCCCGCCGGGTGTTGGGACCCGGTCTGCGAACCTCCGCCGTCTGAACCTCGCTTCAGGGCTTCTATCTCCATCTCTAGAGCAGCAAGCTTTGCGCGCAAAGGGGAATCGCCGTCCGTCGCGCCCAGGACACGGGCCGCGGAAGGACCACCTGCTGCCTCAGCAGTGTGCAAACCTCCACGGTCCAGTCCTTCCCCCAACCCACTTGCAGTCGCAGGCTGTGGGAGCCCTGGGGAACGCGGCCCCACGGCTTCAACTGGCACATCGGACGGGGAGCTCCAAACCTTCTCTTGGCTCGAGCTTTCTTTTCCCCCTAACGCGAGGATAAGCTCCCCGATGCATTGGATTTCGCGCTGAATCTCCTCTGCGTCTTCGGGGTCCTCGCCACCGCGCAAAGCCGCGACCGAGAACCTGGTCCGCAGCCGACGGACCATCTTCGTAGGATGCCAGTCCCCGCCTATCTTGGAGAACTCATCCGCAAGGAGGGTGGCTTTGGTGCTTAAGGCGTCAAGGTCACGGGAGCTCACCGTGACTCCATGCGCTTTCAGCGCGAGGACAATCCGCGAAACGCGCGTCAAGTAGTCCGCGACCGGTTCTTGGTCTGGACGGAAAATCGCGCGCAGCTCCGCCTGCAAGCCCTCTGCGGTGCCTGGCACTGAACCTGCTGTCGACGGCGGACCGGACGGTCCCGCCGGGCGGGACCCTGGTGCCGTAGCAGGGACATAGGCAGCACCGGTAGGGGCCATGGCCAGCTCCCTAGCCGCGGCGCTGACGTCCACCCGCGGCGGACTGTCGCCTCCAGCGCCCGAGGCCTCAGGGACTAGCTCGGAGTCCTCTTCTTCTTCTTCTTCATCTTCGTCCTCCTCTTCGGCGTCATGGAGGAACTTCATGACTTTTCGCCAAAGAGCCGCCTCTTGCTCTGGCGTAGTGCTGACCCCATCCCGCTTGGACAGTGGACGGCTGCCAGTCTCCCTAGGCCACTTAAGCCAAGCGACGTAGCCCATCCGCTCGGGATAGGGAACGTCACCACCCTCGATCGCTTCGAGGAGGGTGACGCCCTCGGCCTGACCTGCAACCTCTGCGGACATCGCCGCGCCTTGGTTAGCAGGCCGCAGGCGTGGCACACGAAGCGCCGCGCCTTGGTTAACAGGCCGCAAGCGTGGCACACAGTCCACGCGTCCAGGTCACGGACCGCGACAGACAAGCAAAGCAATGCTTGCCCACTCGGGCCGTAGGCACAAGAGCTGTACGTTTCCCAGAACAGCCCCCAATTGTGAAGTCGACCAGCACTGGACTTGCACTAAGCCAATGCAATCACAGCCCGGTCACGCTGTTTTACGACTTCGCGAGTCCAAGCACTTGTGCAGCTACGCCTGAGTGCGTCCGGTCGGACCGCACAGCAACCTAAGAGCTACTGTACGACTCTACCGTGCTCAAAGGCACAAGCTCGGTACTTGAGCCAAAACATTGGCATTGTTACGAATTGCAAAACTACACATGCAAAGGAAAACAACAAGCTGCACTAGCACTAAGCAAGCACTCCATGCATGCTTTGACCTGCTCACACATGCATGCATGCATACATGCATACATGCATACATACATACATAGGTGCGTATATACATATATACATATATACGTCTGTGCGTATATATGTACATACATACATACCTACATACCTACATACATACACATACATATCTACATATTGACCAGTCAGGCTGCTTTCCGGCGGGTCACTGGACATTGCACTGCGGGAGAGGCCGCAGGAGCTGACTGCTAAGGCACGACTCCAAGACCTGATTTTGTTTGGCTGTTTCTGCGGCTTCCCTGACTTCCCCTGACACTTCCTATACCTCGTCTTTTCACTTTCGGTCTTGTCCGTTGTCTCTCTCTCATTGGCAAGATCATTAAGCGCCCCCGAAAGAGAGCCGATTGAAACCGGTGTTTTTTTTGCACTTCTAGCAGTTGCTGCCAGTCCAAGTATCCAAATTATTGGCACACCAATGCCGCACCGGCCCCCCGAAAAAGGGAGGCTAGAGCTAGAGCACAGGCCCGCAGAGCTCAGAGAAGATGCTGAGTGAGGTTCGGCTGCGGGCTGCGGCTGGGGTGGCCAAGGCGCTGAACTACATGCACCAAGGCCCGCATGGAAGACACAAGTAAAGTTTACATCTCGGGATCATCTTCGCGAGATTCTGCTCGAGTGCTTTTCACGGGCTTCAATCAGGGGGGCAAGGGGGTGTAGCTCGAGCTTCAAGGGTTGAGCGTTCAGGACAATACAGCAGAATGCTAGAGAGCGCAGGTCCCCACCATCTTCTTGAGCATTCTCTTAAAAAAAAAAAAGCAGGCGGTGCGGCCCAGCGGTGCTTCCACCGCGACGTGAAGTCCGGAAACATTTGCCTCACCGGCGCCCTGAGGCCTCCCCGGGCCCTAAACCCTAAACCCTAAACCCTAAACCCTAAACTGAAGACCGGCCCCTCCCCAGGAATGGGGCCGGTCGCTGCGGGCTGCCGGAAGGAGCCCGCGGACCGAGGCTGGCGTGCCGAAAGGGCCAGCCGCAGGTCCTGGACCGGAAGGTCCACGCGGCTTTGCAAAGGCCGCCTCTGTCAGCCTATATAATGATAGCCCTAAACCCAGCGCCAAACCACCGGGCGCCCCTGAAAACCTCCCCTTGGGTTGAGGACTTGAAATTAAGACCCGGAATAAGAGGTTTGCTTCTCCCAAGGACAAGGAAGGAGGACTTCCTAGAGGGCCCATTTGCCTACCCGGGGACAAAGAGGAAGAATTGCTGCGGACTCAAAGCAGGAGGACTTCCTGGAGCCCGGAGCCAAAGAAGGAGGACTGCCTCCAGGGCTAATTTGCTTATCCCGTGGACAAAGAAGGAGGACTTCCTGGAGGGCCAGTTTGCTTATCCAAGGGACAAAGAAGAAGGACTTCCTGGAGGACCAGTTTGCTTGTCCGGGGACAAAGAAGGAGGACTTCTTCCTGGAAGGCCAGTTTGCTTATCCCGGGGACAAAGAAGGAGGACTTCCTGGAGGGCCAGTTTGCTTATCCCGGGGACAAAGAAGGAGGGCCAGTTAAAGAAGGAGGACTTCCTGGAGGGCTAGAGTTTGCTTATCCCGGGGACAAAGAAGGTTTGCTTATTCCGGGGACAAAGAAAGAGGATTTCCTGGAGGACCAGTTTGCTTATCCCGGGGACAAAGAAGGAGGACTTCATGGAGGGCCAATTTGCTTATCCCGGGGACAAAGAAGGAGGACTTCCTGGAGGGCCAGTTTGTTTCTCCCGGGGACAAAGAAGGAGGACTTCCTGGAGGGCCAATTTGCTTATCCCGGGGACAAAGAAGGAGGACTTCCTGGCCAGTTTGCTTCTTGGGGACAAAGAAGGAAGATCTCCCGGGGACAAAGAAGGAGGACTTCCTGGAGGGCCAGTTTGCTTATCCCGGGGACAAAGAAGGAGGACTTCCTGGAGAACTCTGAAAAAACGGCGCAGTTGAGGTAACTCAGTAGTCACTGTAAGGACTCGGCTGTTGAAGCTTCAAAAGGGCTGTAAGGAACACACGTAGTCGCCATAGCACGCGCCTCGAGTTCTAAATGTGAACTAGATCGTCGGCCAACGTAGGAAAGACTGCCTCTCGTGCAAGAGAAGCAGACAATCCTGCGGTTCATGCTGAAAATGCAGCCCGACAGGGCAAAGCTCATCGATTGCGGCCTCGCGAAGTACGCCCCCGAGGAGTCCGAGTCCTGCAACGCTATGAGACGAGAGCTCTTTTTTGAAGCGCTTGAAAGTTGTATCGCAGACGAAGGAAAGCCGAAGACGAGTCAAGGGGCGGTTAGGGAGGTCCCAGGCATCTCGGTATTTTGGAGGAACAGGAATTAGGACAGGTGAAAGTGCCATAGAACAGATCCTTCTCTTCTCAAAACGTGCCTATTGCGAAAGTCGAAAGGAGGTGGACGCGCACAGCTCCAGCCTGGGGAGATTCGGCACCGCCGCATACATGTGCCCCAGGTACGCAATTCAAGGCAGCTCCTCATCAAGTCTAAGCTGTTCGCCCTTCTTTCAAGTCTTTCAATCCAAAATGACCTTTCAGAATTTCAGAAGTCTGACCTTCTGGTAGCATCTGGTAGCACCTGCTAGGTGGCTACAATGTGAAGTCTGAGACCTACTCCTTCGGCATCGTCCTCCTGGAGCTTCTCACTGGCAAGCTGCAGCTGGCTCCCACGCACCTTGTGGAAACCTTCATCGAGGACGGAGATCTGATGGCAGGTTCTCTTTTTTCGTGAAAGCACACATCTATGAGCTGAAAGCAACGCCCCATCAAGCGGTGTGTGCCAAAAGGCCATGGTGGCCAGTGCGTTGACGGATTCAGAAGTGGCTCTTTCGGTTGCAACATGTAGTGGGCCTACGACTCCCGTGGAGTTGCGGCTGAGCCGGCGAGATCATGATACAGTCTTCAAGGGTGTGCCTTTAAGACCACAAGCTTCTTGCGAGTGTGGTACCCTCCAAGTCCGAGCGCGAAGAGGGGAAGGGAGGAGAGGGGGAGGAGAGGGGGAGGGGAGGGGGAGGGTAGGGGGAGGGGAGGGGGAGGGGAGGGGGAGGGGAGGGGGAGGGGAGGGCAGCTGGCTTTTTCTTGTTGTTGGCGGAGGATGCCGAAGATGGAGACTTGCGTGCAGCGATGGATCCGCACGCCGGATGGCCAGCCCCGGTCTTCGACGAGGTGGGCGTGGCTGAAACGGTTTTTGTTGCTCTCCAAATGCAAAGCTTTGGGGATCTTTGGGGGGGGGGGGGGGGGAAAGGATGCTGGGTCGAAGCTCTCTCTCTCCTCTTTCTGCTGAAAAAGGGGCTCCTACCCACCAACCCAAAAAGTGATCCTGAGCCAAGAGCAGCCTCCCCAAAACCTGAACCTCGAGCACCCGCTTTCCCTCAACGGAGTGCAGCGGGAACCCAGCCAAAAATATGGACTCAAAGCCCCTAAACCTCTCAAGCCGCCCAACCCCAAAGTAAGAGGGTGAACAACAGGTCGCAACCGCAAGAACCGTGAACCCCACATGTTTCAGACACTAGAGACGAGAGACCTTTGGCCCTTAGGACTATCATGCCCTGGTGTACTGCAAGTCATAAACCGACGAGACCTGAGAGCCACTTTACCTACAGTTTTATGGGTTATATATACACCTACTAGTTAAGGGTAGTCAAGGTAAACAGAGTCCCAGGTAAACACCGAACTGATGGCTGCATGGAAGCGCCACGTGCACGGTAGTAGTTTCGTGAGCACATGACGCAGGGAATTTGATTTTGCAGGGCCTCTTGTTGAAAGTTGTCAAGAGTGGCGCCCAATTATAATGCACTTCCAACACCTCAAAGACCTAAACCCCGAGACCTTCACCCTCAAATCCTGCCCCCCCCCTCAACACTCCAGAATTCAGGTCTTGTTTGTTCGTTATGGAATGCCCGAGGTGCAATCAGAGTCCTCCTTAGATTCAAGGCAGAAAGTCCAGGTTTGGGTTTTTGGGCTTACAAGGGTTTGGGAGTCGGTTCTGTGTCGGTTCGTTCTAGCCGACCTAGCACCGCATGCATCCGCATGCGCAGCCCATGAACCTGACGCAGCCCATTTGGCAGTGAAGTACAACGGGCCTTTCCGAGGTGGCAGCCGTGGCAGCGGATGCGCTGCAGAGCAGCCTCAAAAAGCGCTGCACCCTGCAGCCCGTGCTCCAGGTCCTGGCCAGGCTCGCCTTCCATCCTCGGGCTCTGTGCGAAATGCATCGAAATGCGAAGCCTCAGAGTAGAGAGAGCTTCTCAACCGTCTTTGAAGAGCTTCAACCTTTTAAGAGGCTGGAGCGCGAGCACGCGGGCATCGTCTTTGAGGAGGAGCAGCTCGAGCGTTTCCGGCAGCAGCGGGAGGAGTGCGCTTGGTCGACGCGGTGGAACTTTTGGCGTCGGGATTCGGGTCGTCCCCGTTTGCCTCAATGGTCTTTAGAAATCCGTCTGTGATGCTGTGATGGCGTGATGGTGCTTAACGGGCGCCGGCGCTCGCACTCCTTTCTGGCAGCGGGTGGTCACTCACTCGCCGATTCCGTTCATGTCGAGTTTTGGTTAGTTAAGGGGTCCGCAATAGAGCAAGAATGTCCGGATTTTACAAAAATCTCCGTAATCTAAGACTTGGTGCCTTCAAGGCTACATCCCCAAGATCCAAGCTAGAGCCTCCAGCCTTCAAGGCTGCAGCCCAAGGCTCTGAAACCTCTAAAATTTCAGACGTGAATGAGAGGCCCGGAAGAGGCCCTACAGGCCCGCCGTAAACAACCTTGACCCCGGCCCAAAACGATTTTCTCCCCGGAACCGCGCACCACTATTCCGTTACGAAGTTGTTTGGGGGGAGGCCTGGGGTTTTACGAATCGGAACTCCAAAAAAACGGCTACTGTAAATCTTCGGCTCGACCACATGGCCACCCAACTTCCCATCAGCCCGACCGTCTCCCTTCCATGCGGCCCCCCGAAGCTTCGGCCCCGAAACTTCGGCCCCGACCCGGCAGAGGGCATGTAGGTGCCATCCTGCCGCAACCTATATTACAACACAAGGACGGAGACTCACAAATCAGATCCCAAACGCAAAGCCCTTGATGCAAGCCTTCGAGTCACTCAGTGGTCTTTTGTCCTTTTCTTTTTTGTAAAGGGCCCGTGAACCTTTCAGCCTCCATTTCAAGCGGCGCGAGGAGCACCAGCGCGAGCAGGACGTGCGGGAGGCCCAGCAGCGTGAGCAGCGCAGGCAATGCCAGGCTCGGAGCAAAAGGCGTAAGAATGGCAAGAAAGAAAAAAAGAGAAGGGCTTGAGGGGCTACTGTAGGGATAACAGGGCTCTTTGGAGGAAAAGATTTTTTGGCCCTTTGCAGGTCTGCTTCGAGGACTTTGATACCGCGGAGGGCATCTGCTGCCCAGCCGACCACTTCCTCTGTGCCGACTGCCTGGCTGGGCACACGCAAGCAGAGGCGTGCAGAGAGCATGAGTGTTCTATACTGTTCTTTCAAAAAGCACAGCTTCAGACTTTCGAGGGTGGATCTGAGACTCCAAGAGGGAGTTGTTTGTGCATGGGTTGCTTGCGTTTTTTGCGGGGTGATCGCAGGTGCACGACGAGAACCTGGAGCGCTTCCGCCGTCGCCACGGCGTGCAGTGCCCGGCACTGAACTGCGGGCACATCTACGCCAACGGGCCGCTGGCGCGGCACGTGCCCGAAGCCACCTTCGCCCTTTACCTCCAGGCCTCCTTATTTGCAAAAGATCCAAATGGTCCCCGCAAAGCAGAGCGCTTTCAAATCCAAGCGCAGCCACCCGACTTGATGCCACCTCCGCCTCGGCATTCGGCTTGTTCAACCTGCATCCAGACATCTCAAGCCTAAGCCGACACTGCCCACATCCAAACCCACAACGACAGCCTGATTAAGCGCCCCTCCCCTCCCCCCCCCCTCAATGCGCTTGCAAGGCTCGAGAGCGTTTGGTTGAGGCGGCAGCCACGGAGGTCGGACTCTCTGCTTGTTGTGGGGGATGGGAGGAGAGAGGGCGGGGGCGGGGTGGCTCTGGGAACAGCTGTGGAGGAGATTTTGGGGTTTGGGAAGGTTTTGAGTTCGGCGTGCTTAGCGGCAACGGCAAAGAACAAGGGCCCTTTTCCGGAGGCCGCCGAGCGGGACATGGCCCGGCGTCTGGCGGCCGAGCGCGCCGAGGGGCGGCTCGGCCAGGCGCGGAGCCTTGGATGCAGAGGAGACCCTTTTCCAACACAACCAAGAGATAGCAGATATTTGCACACTTTGCGCCGGCACGTGTTTTTGTTTTTTTATGGGTGATTGGGTGTTGATTGGGTGGTGATTGGGTGGTGAGGGGTTGGACTTGGGCGAGCCAGGTCTTTAGGGTTTGGTGTTGCTATTGGGGTTTCGAGCAGTGCGGACTGACGACAAGAAGCTCGAGGCGCTACGTGCAGGAGGAGATTCTGACGCTGCGCTGCCCACGCTGCCAACAGGCGACTAGTGACTAGTGGAGACTGATATTCCAGTGGTGCTTGAGGTTGCTTGAACTGGTCTGCAGAGTTCAGGTCTTGTAGTCGCTTTAGAGCCACGTGAGGCGTGCTGAGCTCTTAACTTCTCTCAAGCGTGCCCTAGAGCTGCTCTCAGAGAAGACCCATGCCGTATATTTTTCAAGAAGACGGGAGGTTCCGTTTTTGGAGCCCTGCTGAAACGTTATAGAGGCCTTCGTGGACTTCGACGGCTGCTGCGCGCTAACGTGCAGCCGCGCGGGCTGCGGCTGTGGCTTCTGTGGTTTCTGCCTACAGGATCCGCTAATATACGCTACCTTGGGGAAGCCGCGGGGGGAAGCTTCATTCATCTCAGGGACCCGCCCTCAACATGCCGTCCCACATCATTCTCAGCCCGGAAGATGCTGCGAAGCTCCTGAGACCAGTAAATTTCGACAGGGGTTTTTGAGCATCCTCAGGTGGCAGCAGATAAGCCTAACCTAACTGCCAATAGAATTCTCAGTGCTGTTGCAAGAAAGACGGTCATAAAGGTGCAATGTCTCACCCATGAACCTGGAAGAACAGCGCGGATGGACAGGACTGCGGCCGGAATGCCCATGCCCATGTGCGGCGATGCGGGCTCAACCCACGGCAGGAGTTCCCTTGTTTTCCTGGACAAAGCAAAACACCAATGGAGACCTTTCGAAGGAGTTTTGAATGGTTTGGGTTGGGGGGTGGAGGGTTTGCAAGGGCTTTTCAGTTTCAGCGCTACGACTCAAAGTTCAGACACAGGCTGCTGGTCTACAAGAAGACATGGCAGAGAAACAATTTTATCTTGCACAGCACAGAACACCGAACCACGCATTCACGAACCACGCGTTCATCAACAAAGCGCGACAAGCTCACGAACACGGCAAGACACGTCAAGCTTGTTTGAGGACTATTTCGTTTCCGAGGAGCAGTTCAGAGAGATTCAGAAGTGCCGCCGGACCCGTCTGGTGCAGGCTCCTGAAAGCCCCCACTGTTTGTTTTTGTTGAGGACAAAGCATAGGGAAGCCACGGACAAAGCCACGGAACTGGCGTCAGCATCGCAAAGACCTGTGAAGGCTTACCTTGCGGAGCTGGAGCCCGAGACCCGAGAGCGCTTGCTCCGAGATCTGGCCCGCGATTTCGCCGATTTGAACATTCACCTGTAGTACAGGCTAGGCAGGGGCCTTAGCCAGAGGCGCTCGAATGTTCGCATTGAGAAAAAACAAGTGCCCAATCCCACAAAGGACAAGGTTCCCAAACATGGGGAAAAAAGCAACGATGCAAATTACCTATAGCCCGGCCACCCACCTCCAACTTCTGCAGTGAGTCTCCGAAGCCCCGGAAGCTAGGCGCAGCTAGACAACGCTTGGCATCTGCTGTCTCGCATGTCGCAAAGCCCGTCTTTTGAAAAAAAAAACTGCCCCGCAAAGTGCCAAGAAGACACGGCCTTTCGCCCGAATCCTCAGCCTTCGACTTCCTTAAGGACTTATGGCGCTTAGGGCTTAAAGGACCCCCGAACCCTAAACCCTAAACCCAAAACCCGAAACCCTGCACCCATAACCCTCAAGCCGAAAACCTACACCACACTGGGCCCTATAAGGACTCGCACTATAGGGCTCCTGTGCACAAGTTTGTTGGTCCAAGGATAGTTACATGTTTCCTTCATATGGGCCCTTAAAAGGCTATACCCTGTACATACCCTATACAAAGTAAGGGCCCATACTTCAGAACCCTTTCAAGGAGGTAGGGCACCACATTGGAGGCCCCGCCCTTTCGGTGACGCTGCACTTCACTGTCTCAGCACGGAGCATGCACGAAGAATTGACATAGCATGTTGCCCTTATCAAGCCACCAAAGACTTCCCGTGCGTGCCACGCACAGTCTTCTGTGTCAGACGCAACAGAACAGTATCCTCTTTGGGGCTCCTCGTGGCCATGGTGGATTCGCCTATCGCACCTGACTCGCCTCTTCCGAATCTGGGCTGGCATCCCTTGTAGTTGCTCAAGATGTTTGCAGAGTATTGCATGATGTAGTCGAGTGTTAGGGCTACCACGGAGGCAAGATAGCTGCTCTCATCCTTGTTGTATCCTTGTTGTGGAAACCTCCTCTTCTCGGCCCAGTAGAGTTGCCGCAACGTCCATAGGGCTTGGAAGGCTAGGGGACCAAGAAAGCCGAGGTGCTCAGAGGAACCGGAGCCGCGCTGTGCCAGTCTCCAGCCGGAGACCACTGGACAGGACAGCAGCCATTGTCACATTGCATGCCCAACATCACCCCTTCTGTAAGCCCGAGAGCTAGTACCAAACCCTGCCCAACGCCTCGGTTCTGGGTAGACTATGCTGCAGGAAAACTACGCAAAGGATCTTGTCTTCCATCTAGTACACTACAGCAAACTCCTCTGCATCCACTAGCAAATTTATATACAAGCAGCGGACGAAGGCATTCTACGTTCTTATTTACTTCTCCCAGGGGTTGGACATGGACTGTCGAGGCCAGAAAAGCCAGCAGCGACGTGCTGCGTTTCCTCGCCTCCCTTGAGCTGAGCTCCTCTGCTGGGATATGGCACGATGAGAAAAGACTTTCGCAACATGAATCGTGGTTTTGCGGTGGCAATACTGGGAACAACGTCTGACGCCCAAGCCTCAGACCCGAAGCCAATTTGTCGAGTTCCAGAACGGGAGCAACAAGAGTAATCATTGTCATCGGACCTGTCTTCTGATTGCATGGTTCGAATATAAGGAAGAACGGTAAGAAATGTAAAGTTACTCGAACATCAGTTGTGGATCAGAAACAGTTCTAGAAGACTGTGAAAAGAGTTCAGCTTCGCCACTCAAAGCCCTGGGGTCCGAAATCCTCCTCCGCCCAACCCCCCCCCCCCCCCCCAAAAAAAAATAAAAATAAAATAAATAAATGAAAGAAATATGAAGAATCCCCAAGTTAAGCAAGAGCCATCAAGACGAAGAATGCCCTCCTGAGGTTCCCCGGATGTACTTCGGGCAGCGCCAGTTTGGGCCGTGCTCGCACGCTTCGGATGGGTGCTGCGTGGAAAAGGGGGCGCTGACCAGGAAGCGCTGCCCCGTGGCCCCCGAGATGCGGATCTTGTGTGGATGATGTCGTAGCTACTACAAGCATCATTTGCGGCAGCTATACAGTTTCGACTGCTGCTACTGCTGCTACTACTACTACGGTTGCTGCTGCTGTTTTTGCTGCTGCTCCTGCTGCCGTTCCTGCTGATGCTACTGCTACTGCGTCCTGGGAGACTTTGTGTGGGCTTTGCAGATTTTAGCCAGTTTTTGGCAGAGTAGGCCATGGCTGCTTGAAGGAAGGTTGGCGGTTGGCTCTTCACACAGGCCTTTACCTTGCAGAAGCACGTTGAACAGCTTCCGCGGCAAGAGTCGGTGAGCATCGCCCTCCTAAAGCAAATGCCTGGAATGTTCCCCATTTCCAAGGTGCTATCAATTGAGCAAAAGACCACTTTGCAAAATCCAGTCATTTTGACAGAAGGTAAGCAACGCCAATGCGTAAGTTCGAAGCATTTCACTACGGCTCAGGTATCAGTTGAGCACCGTGGTGGGATCTATTGAGGAGTTCTGGTCCCACAGCTGGCAAGCACCATGTTTTTGGAAGATCTGGTTGCTTCTGATGATGAAGAATGGCACGCCAGCGTGCATTGTGGCATTGGCCGTGGCGTCTCTGGCAGGATGTTTGTCCTATCTGGAACTTTTGCCAGCTGTGGCATTCAGGTCGCCCTTAAGAGCGTTCCAGTCACCAGGTTTTGAGTTCGAGCACCGGTACACTCCTGGAGCCATGGTCTTCGGGCTAATGGCTATGATCCTGACCCTTCTCCTGTGGCCTCCTAGGGGGCAGGCATTTCTGGATCGGGCTTGCATTCATCAAGGTGATGCCAAGAAGAAGGCTTTAGGCATCCTAAACCTGGGAGCAATGCTGAAGAGATCTCAGAAGCTTGTGGTGCTTTGGGATCCGAGCTACCTCTCGAGGCTGTGGCGATTGGAGCCGCACTTAAAACCGTATCAGTTTTTTCTTTCATGTAGAGAAACCATGGGCGCATGCATCTGTTTACAATGTCGGGAGCTTCCAAACGTACCTCAGGTGCGTGTTCGAGCTCTCTGCCTTTCTGAGCTCTCACAAGGAAGACAAGGAAGACAAGGAAGGAAGGATACATTCCCTTGTGGTCAAGCCACTGGGGCTTGCGACGATCACGACCTGCTGGGTTCTTGGGGGTCTTCTCTTTGGAATTGTCGAGATCAGTATGCCCTCAAACTTGGGAAGCATCGGCCCTTTTGGACTGAGAGGAGCATATGTGTTTGGTTTTGCAATTCTGGCCAATGTGATCATGAAGCGATACTGGAAGCAGATCTCTGTGGCCGAGGAAGCATTCAGTAGCTTCACTTGGGATGGGTTGAAATGCCAGTGCTGTGAAATAAATCACGTGGTGAATGGTGTCAGCATAGCGTGTGATCGCGACATGATTGCCGATTGTGTCTGCCAGTGGTTTGGCTCCATAGATGCGTTTGAGACCTGCGTGCGCACAGAAGTGCGCGAAGTTTTCTTGGCACAGCTTGTCAAGGGCATCTCGGTCCTTGCTGGAGAAGTTCTTAAATTGAAAGAAAGTACATCTCCCATATTGCCAAATAGTGTACTGCTACGACTGTGGCAGAAAACGCTGCTGTATCAGATAAAGTAGTATGTTGCGTAGTCAAACATTGTCCTCTAGGGCACTGTATCATATAGGTGCTTTGGTGTACAAATATTCTGTTTTGCCTTTTGGATACTTGAATCCTCAAGTAAGGAATGCCCTTTGGATACTGGTGGCTTTGTGCAGCCAGTTCCGCATGGATGTGGCTCCTAATTGATCATTCTGCGGCCCGAGCTCATGTTGCCTGGACGCTGTTGTACCTATGTAGCCTTTCCTATGCCAACTGTGTTTGCAGCAGTTTCATGTTGCCACTGTCAAAGTCTATTTGAGAGGCGGGGTCGAAAGTCTTCGTCTTTGCAGTTTTCAAACGTGGTTTCTGGAAACTTTGTTGGCCGTCATGATTACAGAGCGCCAGTTGTATACTGCAGGATGTTATGGCATACTCTGATACTGCATGTTTTCGGGGTATCATTTCGTAATAGTACTATCGGTGTGTCCTAAGTGTAGTAGACTGTAGCATACTTTGTGCAGTGCTGACCGCAAGTCTTTTGCTTACGTAAACAGCGCAGTCCCCAAGAGCGCGAAAGAGACGTTTGCAACACATCTGTCGAATCATCAGTGGCATGACAGAAGCAGTACATATGAGCAGAATCTCACGAACGCGCAGCACCTTGTTGTTGCAAACTTTGGTGCCTTGAGGGTAGCAGTATCTGCGTAGAAGCTGGACAGCTAAGGCTGGAGATTATGTGGGGATGGCGCGATCGCTTTTTGCAGGAAAGGAGAAGCATTTGAGAACTTGCGCACCCTTCCGAATCTCTCCCTAAACTCCGAGGAAGACAAAGAACCGACATGCCCGAAACCCTGGAGGCATCTATTGGTGGTTCTGGATCGGCCCTAGCAGCTTCCAGGCTGGTTAACAGACCACAGAAATCTCAATACAGTCTGAGTCATAGTATTTTATCGTCTCTGCACTTAAGCTATCAGTGTTATGGAACGGTATGGAAGTGTACAAGTACGGCAGTACCCCCCAGCAACACCAATTGTGCCGGAACCAATTCGACTCTTACCGTGGAACAATAGCCAGTGCTAGCCAAGTCCATTTTGGGCGTTCCACGGTCTTCTGCATCATACTTGCCCCAGAACCTCCTATACTACGGCATACTGTCATGAAATTATTCTACTGCCCACTACCCTGCAGGCGTTTGTAGCGCTTGCACGCTGGCAGCGCGCGGGGGCGTCCAATCTCCGGCAAGTTGCTGGTTTCCTCGCCTTCCTGCTTCTGATCGTCGTACCTCAACAGTACCAATATTGGCTTTTCCACTTTATGGAAGACAAGCAGGTGGCAAATCTGGCATTTGGGACAAGCACCCTGCTAGTAGCACTGGCCATACATTTCTATCTGAGCCGGCGGCCCACTAAGCTGGCTTCTCCAGACCGCGTGTGAGCTGCGTGGCTTTCATCAAATCCTCATCAAGAGTCTTCCGGCCCTGCTGCGCAATGCGGTGCCATGGTGTTGGATCACCACGCACAAGCAGTGGCGTTCAGTTGAGAAGCTTTATCGGGTGCTTGTTTGCATCTCTTGAGAAAATCCCACCCGCGGCCAAGCAATTGCTTGGCTCAGAGCGTGGTTCTTCAGAAGTTTTTGGTGGATCTTCTAGGTACTTTTCGTGCTTTTCCAGTTAGCACCAACAGGCTGGGACATTTATTGACTCAGCAGGTTGCATCATGTCCTTGCATCAGTGGGTAAAGCCCACAGACCCAGGCTCAGGCCTGAAGATTGTGCAGAGTTGCAAAAAGTCAGAGGCATACTCAGAAGACTCGACTGTTCTATGCATAGCCCTGTCACCTCCAACGCGCCCCCAAGAATTCCGCAGACTTGGGGGAGCGCACAGCAAAGAGTGTTAAGGGGTTGAGGGTCCTCTTCCTGCTGCGTGTGAGAATTAGCATATGGGCATCTTCGCCTTGAAAGGCTGGCGAGTCGCGTGATCTGATGTGCTTTGCGTTATCTCATCGTCTCAGCATCGGAATCGGATTGAAGATTGAATACGATATGCACTCCTTAAAGAAGGCAGCAGCTTTGGCTTCGCAGTGCGGGGCATTTTCCTTTTAAGACATCCTTCAAGCCAACTTCGACCAAGCGTTGTGTTCCAGCAACTCCGCACTTACAGATTGCATGGGCACCATCTGGAACACTCGGACAAGTGCACACGTCTGCGGCAGCTCTTTAGTCCCATGATGTCCCATGTCTGAGTGGCAGAACCTGGTCTCAGTTCACAGCGCTCGAGAGCCATCTGCTTCCTGGGTTCAGCTGTTCAGCTCGAAGTCGTGTCAGTGCCCTGACAAAGTGCAAGGCTTCACTTGACTCACCTGCACTCTGCAAGCTTTTTGGGAAGACATCTCTGAGCAAACACGATTGCCACATTTCATTAAGCTTCGTCCAAGCGCGCAGCGCGCCATGTTGCCGAGCACAGAATGCGGCCAAACCGCTGGGTGACAGGCTTGCTTGCTCGTTCTAGGTGTCCCAGCTTTGCCTCATTGCAGCTGTGAGAGAAGACCCGCTTTCTTTTTCTTTTTCCATGCTGCGAGGGGCACAGATACCCCTGTTGAAGTTACACAAGGATGTTGGGATCTCTCCTGTTGCTAGTTTTGTTTTGGGGAAGCATTTTGTGAGTGACATTCCGACAGGTGCCTTTGTTCTTGCCCTTTGCTCCTCATTCTTGTTGGTTGCGGAGCGCTGCCTCCGCGAACGTCTGGTGTTTTCCGAGCATCCTTTGCAGCTTGACTTCGTGCATTTCGTATTGAATCTGAAGCTTGTTTTGCGGCATCTGGGAGCAGTTCAGACTCAACTCATTGTTTGACTCTAACAGCGAGGTTTGCAGATCTTGCCGAGAAGATCCCAAATTACCAGCATGTTTGGTTCGCCTGGGAGTTGGTGGGCACACGCCCCATGAAGTACTTTGAGTGGTTCTTCAGCCAGGCCTGGAGAGTCTTAAAAGAGGCGCTTTCTTGCTCCTCAGACCCCCGTGACCAGGAACAGAAATACCCACTGAATGGCTTTGGGGAAATGGTGCTGCAGAAGAATGCCTCGTGGCAGGACAAGTCTCAATGTTTATACTGTTTGCTTCCTCCATTCGCAATGCTTTCTCCCCCATGTCGCCGGAGATGCATGCATTGCAGGAGCTCTGCCGGATGGATACTGACGGGGACTTGTGCCTGACGTAGGATTTTCTCAAGCAAGCGGCTCTCGTATATGTATGTATATATGTATATCTATATATATATATAAAGGCTGCGTCCGACTGGACTCGGTGCCTCGAAAGCGGAAAGCGGTGTATACATATTACATATACATATATACATATACATATATATATATATGCACATATTTTTGTTTATATCACGCATGAATACATGCATGTGCACACATAATGCACATATGGAATCTAGCTCGCACATACCAGACATTACAGCGCCAATGACTGGCGGGGTAGGGGGGGGCCAGCTGCAGGATGGCATCACCAACGGGGAGGAGCTCGGGGACCCATGTTGCCGCTGGCAAGCTCCGGCTGGAGATTTCCAGATCAGCCGCAACTTGGAGTACAGGCGCGCACGGTGGCCACAGCTTTGCTCACGCTCAGCATGGGCATCACTTGGGGTGAAATATGCGACGATTGGAGACTCGTATAAAATTTTGTGTGAGGCGTTGGATGACCTCCCATCCTTCACATCCTACGGAAAGGCCGAGTCGGGGGCCCCCGTCGAGTCGCAGATGAATCTTGGTTCTTCTCTGCCTGCTCCGCTCAGGAATAAGAACATTCATTCCTTTCCGAAGTCCTGTGATGAGGAGACCGTGAGACCTGCCATCTTGAATGTGACCAGCCTGTTGAGAGGAGTACGACGTCGAAGAGTACCAGCGCATCTTTCGTAATTTCTACTTCAGTCGTTTAGAAGGGAGGCTTGGCATGGCTTGGCCCAAGAATCAATGTCATCATGTCATGCAGTTAGGAGTGTCTCATCGTGCTTAGGACAGAGGAGACCCCGTGGTCAGTTCTGAAGCTGGCGGCCTTTGCGTTCATGACTCTTGAGAAAGGAACTCATCGGTCCGGGGATTGACCTGCATAGCAGCCGACGTGAGCTTAAGGTTAAGATATTAAGAGCACTTAAAGACACTTTGGTTGCTGAAAGGGATTGTGGAGCGCCACACGCCAAGGATCATTCAGATCGGCTTCTGGATTGCCTTTGATGGGCTTGGAGACGATCTGTTTCGCTCCGTTTCTCCGATGTCTTCAGGTCCGAGAAGGAGAGTTGTCGGAAGAACAAGACAGCAACAGAGACCTAGTGGCATCATAAAGGTGACCTAAAAATTAGCTAGCCTTATTTGTGTGGTCAGTTTGGGTGGCCATCCGTTTCGCGTGGCCGGGTTCATGCCTCTTGAAGTGCATGCGCGGAGCACTGTTTAAACCAACTCTGATTCTGATGCAAAAAGACCAAACGTGGAAGGTCAGAGGGTGCTTCTCGTTGTGGCCAGCTTCCTCTACATGGACCCTTGGCCGAAAACAGACTCAGGAAAGAGGAGCGAATCAGCGGGGCGAGAAGTGAGAGGCAGAGAGGCAGAGAGAGAGGCAGAGAGAGAGAGGGGAGCTGTCACCTGAAGCGGCTTCGGCCGAGGACTTCACCTCGGGAGTGGTGCATTTGATTTTGGACTACGCGCCAACCTTCTTACCAGTGCTTGGAGGAGAGCTGGCCTGAACACAGATTCACCAGAGACGCAATCTCTTGCAGTGGCTCCAGATTCTCAATGTACGAGTCATTACGAGTCACGTTGTCTCCAGGCTTGGCCGGTGGTTTCCGATATCACCATGAAGACCCCACTGCGATTTGCCGCATCAGCTGGTTCGCATACGCCTCTCACACTCATTTGCTCGCCATCGTCGTTTTGTTTCTTGGCCGACAAGGGCAACTTGTCAACGATCGTGTCAGAAAAGTTTTGGACAGACGCCTGTGTGAACCGTGTGTGATTTCTTGTGGATTTCCTTCAGGTTGGTCTTGAGACTGGGTTTGCCCTCACGCGGGCTGCGCTTCTTCTGGATTTGGGGTCTTGCTGCCTGGCCACAGATTGTTCATGTCGGTTCCGCAGGACCCGTCTTGAGCAAAAAGCTGCGATGCAACTGGGCATCATTCCGACACTGCTCACGAGGTCTGGAGCCACCTCTTTCAGTCAGCGCACAGATGGACGCATTTCCCACCTGAACAGCTCGCTTGGTGGAAACGAATGCTTCAATCGGTGCTAGTTCTCACACACGAGCGCCATTTGGAAGCAGACATCCCACTCGTCTTTGCCAGGGAAGCACTTCTGCTAGCAGGGCCGGAGGAAGCTCCGGCCCTTTTTTCTCCATGTCCGCCCGTCTCTTGTGACCCAGCAGTCTCTTAGTTGGTTTCAGTGACCTAATTTTTGGGCAGCGTGAGGACCTGTCTCTGCCCCCAAGGCCATATGGAGCACCATCAGGACCTGCAAAAGCAGTTTACCATCCTGCTCTCTGGCAAAAGGAGTTAGCGTGGGGAGCGCGCACAGTGTTTGGCAGGCATCCTAAATGCACTGCGAGACTGGGAGGTCGGGCTTTGGAGACATTGTCCTGGATCCCTTGGTGAAAGTCGTGCCAGCAGCACACTACGATTATTGGTGCGTGCCGCTCGGAGAGGCAATGGGCTTTTTGGTTGGGGTTTAGAAGTTCCTGTAAAGAGTCCTGAGTCGTGAGTTACCAAAACGAAAACGTGCACGCATGCGCTTTGTGGCCAGCTGAGGTTTGGGGTGTGTTGGTTCTTTTTCCCCCATTTCCTGGACTCCTGGCTCCGCGCCGATGGATCCCAGCGTTCCCAGCGAGTCAGCGTTCACGAGAAAGTCTAGCCCTTAAGGCTCAGCTTTCAGAAAATTGGGGGGTGAAAACAAGCTCCTAACAATTGGAGAACAAATTGTTTGTATTGCTGCACAACAAACGTCAGCCCAATTCATTTGGTAGAGGGCAACAAGCCTCCGACCCAGAAAGCATGAAGCGCTGCCCAGTTCGGCCGAAGCCGCTGGGTTCGAAGCCCATTCTGGATACGACAACCATGCAAATGACAATTCGCCATTTGTACCTTTGAGACTCACGAGCCCTTTGGGCACTGTGGGAGTAAAAGCGCGCAGCCTGTCCTCAAGCAAGCTCCAAGTTGATTCCAGTTGCTAGGTGGGGTACCATAGGCGCGGTCTCATAGGGTACCCTGCTCTTCATTGTTGCGGTTGCCCGAACTGTGTGATTGCCTGTGTTGCTTAGATTTTATCTGTGGTATTCCAAGCACAGCGACTCAGAACTGTTTTGACAATGGGCGCATGAACGATTGCCTCCAAGGTGGCCACCTGGTGCTTTTGTGTGCCTTTGTGTGACTATGTGTGACTGAGTGTGTGCGCATCGCAGTTCCCTGACCGCCAAGCCCATCTTGAAACCCAGAGCATAGGACCAGGGGGCGATACAACATCATGAACACACATGCTCGAGGCTTGGGTTTTTTGGATGTTTTTGGGTTTCGGACAGTACATGAAAATGTTTGGCCACCAGAGGCCTTCGCGTTGTGTGCGCGGCTCATTTTTTGGAACTACAGCTCGCTGCTGCCTGCCACTGCGAAGCGTCTGTCAGCTTGCTGCCTCTTCAACTGTTGCTGGCAGAAAGGTGTCGCCCTAGTCGCTCGAACTAATCGTAAGCGCTTGCAGTATTGGAGGAATATAATCCCTATAGATCTTGCTCGAAACAGTTAGCAGCCATTCTTGCACGAAGCCTGGCTGAACGTAGGTGTGGGGGCGTGCAACTTGTGTAACTCGATCTAGCTCTTGTACTCAGCAGGATCATGAAGGTACACGCTTGTGCACGGTCTCTCCATTCCCCGGTTGATTGTAACTTCCATCACTACCTGTAACTTCTGCAGTTCGGCTGCCTGACTTGCCCACATGTTGACATCTCTCTCAATGCAGACACTGAACTGAGAGCAAGGCCAGTTGAAGTTGAGAAAACCGGGCACTGTTTTTGAAGCTGCTTGGCCTGATGAAACTGGGGCAGAGGAACCCTTGCAAGAACGGCGTGCTGCAGCCACCGATGGCCTACGTGCATCACCTCCTACAGCGGGCCTCAGGGAATACATCTCTGCAAACAGCACCATCCGGATTTGGCTCGCTTTGATAGATGTCCGTTGCCTTCGGCGTTCGCATGCGTGGGACATGAGCTTGGTAAGCAGATGTTAATCAAGGCAACGCCAGCTCCAGGGGATGGGCTATGGCCGCGAAGCTTTCGCACAGCTGAACATTAATTGCAAATCCTCCTGAAACGCATCCTGATCACGAGCTTGCCGCTCCGAAGACTAATTGGACCCCCCAAACCAACGATGTCTGCAAGATCAGGCAACAGATTCTTGTGAGAACAATGGTCTTTGGGAAGGAGCTCGGCTACCACTTTTTCATGTTTGAGATGTGACGAGGCCAGGAGGTGGGATCGAAGTATCTTAGCGCACGCAACTTCGCCAGCCTGCGAAACACCGAGCAGCGAGCCACCGCGACTGCAGGGAAATGCTACATCCATCAGCCTGCTGCATCTTAAGGTTTTAAGGTTTGCGCCTCAGTTACCAGCCGGAAGACGCTCCTGCCACCAAGACTAAGCCAACGCGAGCAAAGAGAAAGGCAGCATGTTTCTTGAGCCAGTTTCCGAGGTGGGTTTTCTCCCAAACGAGATTTTTTCCGTAACTCTATCAGCCCCCGTTTCCATGCGTCAATGCATTGAGCATCTGGCTTTGACCCTTTTGCGTGGAAGAGATGCCGTGAAGTTGTGGGCCCGGCGCCCGACGCTGGGCACCTTTACGCCACTCTCAGTAGAAAGTCTTTTTCCGTAAGCTAGCTATCTGGTTTACGTTCGGCGACCACTAAAAACGTTTCTGCATCAGCCCGAGGCGGACCAGTCACTCTCTCGCGATCTGCCCTCCCTGCGCTCGTCTTTCATCTGCCGTCCCTTTGGGAAGCTATACCAGGAGCCTAGGACCGGTTTGGTCCGCGGGAGCCCGGGTGTAAGGGCAGTATGGGCAATGGGTGTTCTTAAAAGGGTTAGATTGCAGCATTCGGAAATCGTAGCTTGGGCCCAGGTGGCCTGCAAAGATCCTATTGGGTCCGCCAAAAGAGTTCTTGATAGTTCTTGCTTCAGGGCATGCTGAATGCGCACAGTTGCCCTGAGTAATTCCTTGGCCTTCCACCTCCAACACGACTTTGCAGCTGAGCGTCCCCGCATTTCTCAGCCCATGGGGCGAACCGACATGCACTGTTGATCCCGGAGAGGGAAGTCCAAAGGCTCACGCCCGGCCTTATCAAGGTAAGTCTTCTACTCTGTCCCAGCAGCCAGCGTTCGGGCAACAGAGGGTTCCTAAGCAGATAGTTCTTTTTGCACCTTATAAAGGACTGCTTGAACCCTTTTTGTTACTACTACTCCTGCTACTGCTACTGCCACTGCTACCGCATATAGACTCTGCCAAGCTGACAGGCCTTGCTCTTTCGAGCTTTCGGCGACGTGAGACCAATGATTCCAAGCAGTTTTCACACGATAATCGGGTTTTGGAAGAATTCGGAAGACATCACACGGGTCTGGGCCCTTTGAAATCTCAGCAGCTGTCTCGGCTCGGGTTGACGCTCCGCAGCTGGGTTTGTGTTCTCTGACGGATCTCATTAAGACCATGCTGGTCACTTCCATGCCGCTTTGCCTACTAAAGGTTTGGGGTTTGGGGCTCAGGGTTTTGGTCGAAAATTCCATCAATTGCGTCCTGAGGTTTCGTGCGATGCTGGTGGTTTTTCTCGCTGACGCTGCCCGCCCCGCACAGTTCGTGTCACAAGGCTGTGTGTGATGCGGCTTGATGGGCCAAGTCAAGATTTTGCAGGATTCTTCAGAGCCAGGGAGGCCCTTGGGTGCCATGAATGCAAATTGTGCTCCGAGGGCTTGTATAGAGTCCATGTTGAACAACTGCCAAAACTGCTATGTACAACCAACTGCTTAAACCTCAAAGCCCCCAAACCCGAAACCCAAACCACAAACGCGTAGACGCGAAACGAGGGGGGATAGGTTGATAGGGTTGTAGTGGGTATATGGGGATACGTAGGATATACAGGTTTAGGGCTTAGAGATTTAGGTGGATGGAGGACATCTTGCACCAGCTAGGATCCCCAATGTTACTGTGTAGTTGCTACGGATTAGTGACCTTTAGGTTCAGGGTTGAGGGTTCCTACGGAGACAATCGGTGCTAAACTCTCTACGTCTCTGGCTGGGCAGGCCAAAACAACGGTCAGGCGGTCAAACTGAAGGCTTCAACCCTAAATCTCAAACTTAAGTCCAGGGCTCATGTAGTCAAGGTGCCCACTGTGAACCTGCTCCCTCTTCATGGCCTCACCTGCGTCGACACCTGCATCATCCGGATGACCCGCAATGTTGAGGGTTTGGGATTCGGGTTTAGGGATTAGTATTGAGGGCTTCAGTTTGGGACTAGGGTTTAGGGAACACTCTGATATGAGTAGCATCTTTGCTGGTGGTTGAACCCAGCGAGATTATATTCGTTGAATGAATTTCTATACCACAAAGAGGATATGATCTTCCTATATTGGGTGCCATATTTTTCCTACAGACAATACCGTTCATATGCTATATATGTGTGGGCTATATGGGGTGTATAAAGGGATCATGCAAGAAAAATGAAGTTGCCATAACCTTATCCCTAAGGCCCAGACCCAAAAAAAGATGGGGTCCATGCCTGGGTTAGTACCCTGACACCTAAACATTGTTGGATGCAGGTTTTGGTTGTGCATCCATTCCTGGATGGGCTTGGTGTGTTGCACTTGAGTTGGGGTGCATGCTGAACCTTTCAGAATTCCCCTTAGTAGCCCTCTAATGCTCCTCTGTAGAATTCCCTACCCAGCCCCCTTTGAGAAGTTTAAACTATAGGGCATATGATGCTCAACTTTGCCCTAAACCCTAAACCCTAAACCCTAAACCCTAAACCCTAAACCCTAAACCCTAAACCCTAAACCCTAAACCCTAAACCCTAAACCCTAAACCCTAAACCCTAAACCGGGTTTAGGGTTTAGGGTTTAGGGTTTAGGGTTTAGGGTTTAGGGTTTAGGGTTTAGGGTTTAGGGTTTAGGGTTTATTGAACTTATTAAGGGTTCAGGTCCGGGGAAGTTTCGAGGAGTTTCGAGGAGTTTCGGTTTTTAGATTTTTCCGAAATTGGCTTCAGAGGCACAAATCGGCTTTAGAAGGCCCAAAATTGGCTTCAGAAGGCCCAAAATTGGCTTCAGAAGCCAAAAATTGGTGACAGAGGCTGGTTTGGCCTCAGAGGGCCAAAATTGGCTTCAGAAGGCCAAAAGTGGGTTGAAAAGGCATCAGAGGCCCAAATTAGCTTCAGAAGGCACAAAATTGGCTTCAGATGGCTTCAGAAAGAAGGAGGCCCAAATTGGCTTCAGAAGGCCCAAAATTCGCTTCAAAAGCAAAAAATTGGCTTCAGAAGGCAAAAATTGGCGCCCAAATTGGCTTTGGAAGGCCCAAAATTGGCTTCAGGAAGCCAAAATTCCAAGTTGACTTCAAAAGGCTTACTTAAACTTGGCTTCAGAAGGCCCAAATTAGCTTCAGAAGGCCAAAACTGGCTCCAGAAGGCCAAAATTGGCTTCAAGCCAAAATTGGCGTCAGAAGGCTCAACTTGGTTTCAAGGCCAAAATTGACCAAAATTGGCTTCAGAAGGCAAAAATTCCAAACTGACTTCAGCAGGCCAAAATTGGCTTCAGCAGGCCAAAATTTGCCTCAGAAGGCCCAAATTGGCTTCAAGACGAAAATGGGCACAAAATTGGCTTCAGAAGGCTCAAAATTTGTTTGAAAAGGCCAAATTAGTTTCAGAACGTTTTTTTGGCTTCAGAAGGCCAAACTTAGGCTTCTCAAGGCACAAAATTGGTTTCAGAAGGCCAAACTTGGCTTCAGAGGCCCAGATTGGCTTCAGATGGCTTCAGAAGGCCAAAATTGGTTTCAGGCCCAAATTGGCTTCAGAAGAGCCCAAAAATGGCTTCAGAAGGCCGGCTTCCCACATTCAGAAGGCCAAATTGGTTGAGAGGCCCAAATTGGTTTCAGATTCTATTCAGAAGGCCAAAATTGGTTTCAGGCCCAAAGTGGCTTCAGAAGGCCCAAATTGGCTTCAGAACGCGCAAAATTGGCTTCAGAAGGCCAAAATTGGCTTCAGGCCCAAATTGGCTTTGGAAGGCCCAAAATCGGCTTCAGAAGCCAAAAATCCCATATTGACTGCAGAAGGCTTAGACTTGGCCAAATTGGCTTCAGAAGGCCAAAATTGGCAATTGGCCCCAGAAGGCCCAAATTGGTTCCACAAGGCCCACCAGCAAAGAGCGCAAAAGGCACCGGGTGGCTTTGCCCAGGACTTGAGAAGCTTCAAACAGCTCCAAAGTGCTGAAATGTTCAATTTTCTTAAACCTCCTGCACAAAGCCCAACAGTCTTTTTTGTTCGATTTACTTAAAAACTCCTCGCCCACGCAGGCACGAAGCAACTGACGACAAACCCAAACAAAAAGAAGCCGGCAACTTTGCACCACACCAGCAAAAGCGGCCTTCCAAGAAAAGGAAGGAATAAGTTCAAGTTTACACATTGGCTTGAGGGTTTAGGGTTTAGGGTTTAGGGTTTAGGGTTTAGGGTTTAGGGTTTAGGGTTTAGGGTTTAGGGTTTAGGGTTTAGGGTTTAGGGTTTTCGCTGCGAGTGCGCTTCGACCCCCTCCATGAAGTGGTTGGGGGTCGGCGCATGAGCTGCAATGCCCCCCCTCCCACCCAAAATACAAACCTTGGACGGGTTTAGGGTTATCTACCCCCCTACCCCCCTATCAAGGGGGGATAGATTGTTTGGTGGAGCAGGGGTAAATTATCACCTTCGACAAACTGTGGAGAAAACCCTCTTCAATTTGCAGAGTGCTTTGTTTCCAGTTGGCAAATCTTCAACTCAAGACGCGGTAACTGTCAACAACAATTGAAGGAAGGCAAAAGTGCATTGTTTTGGTCGAGTAACATAAACATGAATGCATGAGCACCGCTTCTTTGAGAGCCAAGATTCTGCGCGCAAGACAAATGCAAGTCATCTGGCGTGCCAGGGTGGGTGAGGGGCAACTCCAGGAGCACTGCACCAAGCTACTTCCGTCTTCAGTACGCATGCAACAAATCACCAGGCCTGTGCAACTAGAGTGCCATATGCAAAAGGCTGACGACCTTGATTTGCCGCTTCCAACGCTGTCCTGCGGCAGGTCGAAGATGCACCGTGCTTTGCGCTGCCTAGCGCCGCGCGGCACCGGTTACTGAAGGTGAGACATGTCAACTACCTCGCTGTGGGCCACCTGTACGTGTGTGGCCCAATGATGTGAAACGACTTGAAAAGGACGTCACTTGGCTGGAGTGAAATGATCCTCTGTCAAGATGCCCGCCAACAGGAAGTCCTTGTAGTAGCCGACCCTACTGATGGCAGTGTAGGCCGCGGCAGGCACCTTCGGGGCATCCAGGTAGACGACGACGTGAGGCAGCTCGGCGCCCTGGAACTTCAGGATGGTGGACGCGTAACCCGGCCGGACGGGATAGTAGACCAAGCCACCCCTTTCCGGGTCGGTCCATGGCCAGACGCTGACCACGAACCCGGTGGCAGTGCGCACCAGCAGGCCGCCCGTGTTGTCGTCGTACTTCAGCACCGTCGCCTCCATTCCATTGACGAAGTCGACATCCTTCCGCACATTGCGGGTCAAATATACCCGCATGCCCTTGTAGACGGGCATAGTGGAGGGCTGCAGCTCTGCAGGTGGCTTCAGCTTGCCTTGCGCATAGTTCTCAGGATTGGAGTCCACGTCAGCTGGCAAAGTCGCACTTGGAGGGTACTTCGGGAAGAGGGCCTTCAGAGCAGTTCCGTTGACCACAGCAGCACCCCGCCTGGTGCAAGTCAGGATCGTCGTGTTGGGCTTGGATTTGAGGAGCTTCTGGAGTCCCTTCACAGTCGGCCGGCCCGGCGGCCGCCACGCCATCTTCTTGCGGAGCTGCCGGAGCAGCTTGGCATTTGGTTTGCCGGTCCTGAGGGTTGCCAGCAGCTTGGCGTGCACCTTGTCCTTGCAGCGGTACATTTTGTGGAGGGCCACGCGGTAGCACATGGTGTTCCAAAGGCGCGAATGCCACGGGCGCTTCTCCCCCATGCCGGGCATCTGGTACCGATCACCCAGCAGCGCGAGGGCCGGCGTGCGCTCTGCAGCTGCCCACAAGCGCAAGATCCTGTCGAAGTTGACCATGTCCAGTTGCGAAAGCTCGTCTACGACAATGAGAGAGTACACGCTCAGCAAGGACGCCTCGCCATGCTCTGCAGATTCATGTAGGCCAAACGCGGCGTGGCAGGTGTCGATGTCGATCTTGTGGCCGTAGCGCGCCTTCATGCGACTGGCCAACTGGGCGGTCGGCAAAGCCATCAAGACCTTGCCGCCCTTGGTCAAGGCACGGTCGATGCAAGAGAAGACCACCGTAGTCTTGCCGGTCCCGGGTGGTCCCAGGCACACGTTGGCCTTGCTGTCCTTCGCCTCTTGTCGCAGACGGTCCGCCTCGCCCTCGTCCTCTGCGTCCTCGATGGCCAGCGCTCTGTCCACTGCGCTGTCCACGAGCTCTTTGAAGCCTCCGCAGGCAGGACAAGAATTGTATAAGCGCATGACGCGCATGTGCGTCAACACAAAAATACACAAACCATCTCCACCAGGTTTTTTGATGCAGACGAGGCTCGGAGTTGCTGCCTGTTGAACTTGCTAGCGTCCACGGGGCCTGCTTTCTTCTTGCAGGTCTTCGTCTTGCTGCGGCACTTCTCCTGGGTTTGCCGGTCCTCTCGGGCATCCAGGGTGCCATCAAGGTATTCCTGAAGCAAGCCGCGATGCGCACGGATCATGGCCAGGATGGTGTCCACGTGATCCTTGGTGTGTGCCTCCATCTTCAGCTCGGCGCGGATCTTCTCGTCGTCCTGCCACATGGCCTGCGCCGCCGGGTGCTCGCAGAGGATTGCCATGGCGAAGTACTTGTGTGCCTCCGGAAGCCGTTGGGCGACGTGCTCCGGCACGCAGAAGTCCGTGGCTTCCTCGAAGGGAACATGAAGCATGAGCCACTGGCCAAAGTAGCGGTCGTTGAACTTGGAAACTGTCTCGGCGGCCACGACTTTCTCGCCTTGCATCACGTAGTTCGCAGCAAAGTCCTCTAGGGTGGCGCCGCCGCCAGACTGCACGTGTTTCTTCTTGAGCCAGTGGCAGATCTTCCCCTCGGCCGTGGTCTTGCGCAGGTAGTCGAGGAGGCTGATGCGGCCACGAGCCCATTCCGCCTGCTCGTACAGCTCCACCTCGCGCAACTTGGGCTCCTGGTCAGGGTAGGGCGCCACCAAGTCGCGCTTGCCGCCGCTCTGGGTGGAGAGGTGCCACTGGCGGAACTTGGCACCGAAGAGCTGCAGCACCATCTCGGGCTCCAGCGGCCGGTAGCGCATGAGGACCGTGGCGGCGATGCTCATGGCGTCAGCATCGTCGTTGAGCCACTCCTCGCTGGCCGCGTCCGAGAACTTGCTGACGTACTTGGTGACGTAGGCGCGGAGTAGGCCGTCGTCGTCGCACATCTGGAAGTCTTGGTGGCAGCGGAGCACCTCCATGAGGTCGACGAGGTAGGGGCGCAGGCCCTCGGCATGGTCGTCCTCCGTGTGCTGCAAGCGCCATGCACCAGCCTCACGGTCAAAGCAGCTTGGTGCCTCGTGGATGGGCCAGCCGCTCTTCTTTTCCTGATCGTACTGGCTGCCTTCGACGTAGCCACGGAGGTCCGCGTCTTCGGGCAAAGTGGCGGACACGGTCTCCGCCAGATCCAGCTGCTCGACGTGCTCAGGCTTCACGAAGATGACGACATGCACGTGGACCCGGCCCGAGCCGTGGTAGTCCTGCGTGGCTGCCTTGCGAGTGCCATCCTGATACTCGAGCCGCAGGAAGAAGTGCAGGCGACAGGCCTGTCCCCGCTCGTCAAGAACGCGGAAGATGTTGCTCTTCCACGCCTTGTGCCCATGTCCCCCCGTTTGCCCCAACAACAAGCCTTTCACAGCTTGGACCATGACGTGCACTATGTGCAGCGTCTCCGCCACCGGCAGGAAGAGGCGCTCCTTGAGCATCTTCTGCATCTCGTCGCGGACCCACTCGTGATAGGGGAAGCTCCATTCGTAGGGGGCGATGGTGAAGAAGATGCGAGGGTAGCCGATCTGCCGCACCATGTCCAGCAAGGCATAGTGCACTCCACGCCAATAGTGAGGGCTGAAGGCCTCGCCCTTGAGCGTGAGGCGCATCGGCGTTGGCAGCTGCAGGTTCTTCTTGGAACCGATGCTGCTCCAGAGGTTGAGGTCATAGACGAACTGGAGCAGCTCGAAGTCTGCAGCATAGCCCAGGAGACGACCCAGTGCCAAGGCAGCAAAGAGCCGTTTCATGCTGTGGCGCGTGGCGTCATTTGCTTCTGCGTCCTCCTCATTTGCCAGCTGGCTCTCCTCTTCTTCGCTGTCATCGTTGCCCTCCACCTCCTCATCGCTTTCTGCAGGAAAGGCTACACGCCCAGCAGGCCGACCGGCATTCAGCACGTCCTCCAAGGTGGCTGCCCGCTCCTGCCGAATCACCCGCCTGGGGTCCGTGGCACGCTCGTGAGTGAAGGTGCGCTTCACATCCCAGAACAAACCAGGCCAGAGGGCGCACTCCACGCCGACGCGTTCAATGAATTGTAGCCGGCGACGGCGAGTGAGCTCGTCAGCGCCGGGGTGTTCTTCCAGAAACTCCGCGTGCTCGGCCACAAAGGTCGCATAGGGTGTGTCATCCGAGGCCATCAAGAAGTCGTAAGCTGCGCGGGCCTTCGTCCGCATGTTCACGTCCTGGCCATGTCAGCGAGCAAACACATTGCTGAAAATGTTAAATGTAAAGATTCTGATAGGACACCTGCATACTCAACGCCTCAACGCCTGGCCTGCAGGTGCTTGATGCGCTTCTTCACTGTAGTCGTCTGCCAGCGGAAGCGGATCATGGTCGTCTTCTGGCGGTAGCCGGATTTGTGCTCTGCGCGCACGATCGGGCCCACGTCGATCTCCAAGGGCGACAAAGCTTGCGCAGCCTCTACAGACAGCTCACGCAGAACCTCTGGCACATCTGCCAGCGTCACGACCGGCTGCGCACGTGCTGCGTTGCATCTAGAGCACTTGCCGGAAGGATTTGTGGGTGGCTGGGGTTTGTTGAGCGTGCTCTCTGTGAGGTCGCGAGGCGCGAGGAGGCCGCAATTCTCGCACATGCTCCAGGAGTCGAAAAGGCACCAACGCTCGAAGTCCTCGGCCAGCCGGCGGCGCTTCGCCGGGGGCAACCCAGCGGTGTTCTCGACGGCCTCGCCAGCTGGCGTTCGCTTTGAAGGCTGGCCCATGCGGCGCCGTGCCCGAGCCCTGTCTGCCAGAACCTGCTCTCGATATTTCTTTTTCGTTGCAGCCGACGCTGGGGCTGCAGCTGGCTGCCGCGATGCCAGGGCGCCTCTCCACAAGACGGGGAGCTCCTGCCTGTCCAGCCGACGCCGGCCACCCCGCTCAGCCGCGCGCTTGGGCGCCGGACCCTGCAGCTGCGCTTCAAAATATTCTACCGCGTCGGGCGGCAGGCGTTCTTCCAAAGCACGGGCGCGGGCAGCCACTGATAAGCGCCGGAGCTTGCCCAGAACCTGCAAGAGTATGTTTCTGCATTCATGTTCTGCGCACTTCTGTACGTCACACAGAAAAAGAGCATAAACGCTTGGCTGAACGGCCTCTCGCTTGCCAGCTTCCTCCATGCACAGTGGCCATAGATCTTCAGGTCGACAGAACAGGCAGCGCGTGCTTCGACCCATGACCCGAGCTGGGCCTCCACGCGCTGCAAGAGCAAAGGTGCAGCGCTCGCCGTTCATGCCGATGCACACCTTGGGCTTGGCCAGCTCTGCTTGGAAGTAGCCACGGAAGTCCTCCGGCACGCGCTCCAAGGCCAGGCGTTGGTAGTCGGGCGTCAAGGCCAGCAGCAAGCGCTTGATTTGTCCACGCGAGCGCGGCTGGACACAGGCGGTAGCCAAGCGGTCCGGATCGCAGAAGACCTCAGGCAGCAGTGCAGCTTGGTCAAAAATGGACAATGCCTCTTTTCAATTTCTGGCTTGCCGTTTTTTTTCTTCAGCATTTCCTCTGCCACCAAGGTGCACATGCGGGAAATGTGCCTCGTTGCGCTGCACGTCCAGGGCTCTGCGCAGAGAAGCAACAAGGAGATGCCGCTGTGCCAGGACACACGGAGGGCATGGCTTTGACAACTGCAGCCTGAGATCAACGAAAGGATGACTCGCGCCACAACTCACAAGACTCGAACCAGGGCGGAGAGAGGACACAAATCAAACTCAGGCTTGCGGCTAGATTGCCTAGATTCAAGAATGACATCAGGCTCAAACAGCAGTGCAGGGCGCGACAAGGCCCGGGCATGCGTGCAGCTGGGGAACCGTGTTTTTCCATCTGCGACCTGGAGCGCATTGAGGTGTGGTGCTGTACAGTGGGCTGCGCCTGTGCTAGTCTTGCGCTGCCACGACTTTGAAACACGATGGCCTGAGGCTACTCACTCCTCTCCTGGCTCGTTCGCCACGACCTCAACGCCCGCAGGCGCTTCTGGCAGTCCTCCCTCCTCGGGCAAGCCGGCGTCCGCCGCAAGCCGAACCTGCTCATGAATGCTGTTCGCCTTGGCCGCCATGTCCTGCATGCTATCGAAGATGTGGATCAGCTTCTCCTTCTTCGGCAGGCGCGTCATCTGCTTCAACGTCTGCAGAACCTTGGCCAGCCCGTGCTCCGTCAGCACGGCCTCGGGCACGTTGTCCAGCAGCGCGACCAGCGTGTACAATGGCAGCCTATTCTTTTTGTTGTCCTGGTTTGCCACCATGGTCTGCAACTCAGCAGCAAACTTGGCCACCTCTGGCTCTGCCCAGGACAGATGTGGGTCGAGCCCCGGAGTTTTTGCCTCCTCCTCCTCCTCCTCTTCCTGATCCTCCAAGGAAAGCTCAACGGCCGCCGGCCTCGTCGATGTGGCCCGCTTCTTCGGAGCTTCGGCTTTCTTCAGCTTCTTCTTATCCTTCTTCTTCTTCTTCTCATCACTTCCACGGGAGTGGGAAGACGAGGAGGAGCCAGATTTGTGGTCGCTTTCGCTGCCAGACTCCTTGGCTTCGGAATTGTCCTCCGACTCAGAGCCGGACTCCTCCTTGCCAGCTGCCTCCTCGCTGCTGTCTCCGAAAGCCCGTTTCTTGCGGGGAGCTTTTGCTTCCAGGCGAGCCGCGTTGGTCGCCGCGACGGCTTCCACGCAACTGTCCAAAGTCTTCTTCTGCATGAACTTGCGGACGGGTTTGTCCTGCTTGGGCTCGTTCGGGATCTTCTTCGCCCACGCCTTCGGGTTGGATGCGAGAGCGCAAAGCTCCAAACCAGCCATAGCGCCAGCGTACATGCGTGAGGCTGTGTCTGCCAATCGAGCGAAGTCCTTCACCCGTTGCTGCAGAGCTTCCTTCTTTCCAAGCTTCTTCAGCACCTTCTCGGCGTGCTGCTTCAAAGAAGATGCAGAGGAGCACGCCTTGTTTGACAGGTTGACGGCTGCCAAAGCACTGCCTAAGGGCTCCAAGAGCTTCTTGACAGCTGGAATTCCAGTTTGCCCGAACTTCTTCTCAGACGATGAAGGAAGCACCGCCAAGGCAGCTGCGCAGCATTCCAACGAGGCAGAGGCCATGCTGATGCCCAGGCCTGGGCGAGCGATGCACTCCGAGGACTCTGCTGTAAGCTGCTCGGTCAGCGTGGAGGTGGTGAAGTATTCCGTCGGCGCTTGCTTGTCCGTCAGGAGCATGCAGCCATCCTCATCGGGCCAGCTGCGGAGAAACGCCTTCAAGGGCAACTTGTAAAACGGTACACCTGGAGGATATTTGCCCTTCGCCTTGCTGTCCTTGGTGACGCGCTTGCCCGTCGATTTTCGTGGGACCCACTTGCCCATGGCTTCAAGTACGCAGACCTAAACTGGAACGCTAAACGTCTCTAGCTGCTAGCTCTCGCTCTTGCGCAGCACAGCTATCGGAAGGGTCCCCGCGCTGCTGCTGAACTTAGACTAGTCACAAAGCCAAGGCATATGACCTCCACGGACCAAGGATTCAATGTTTGCACCGTTCTGATTTAACAAGAACAAGCAAAGCCTTGCTAAGACCAGCAGCCGATGTTGCACCCACCAATATTTTGTCTGCAATGTCCTCGACTCGAACTAGCCCTTCACAAAGTCCAGGTCTTGAACGAGCCCTCCTTCATCGCCCCGTGATAGACTGGGGCTCAAGGCCATCGTCCGTGCACAGGCAAAGGATTAAATGCAATGTTGTTGTTGAAAAGAAACTGCAAAGCCTTGCTGAGACCAGGTCGCCCCATGCCCGAATCACCTCAAGAATGGATCACCCCAACAACTGGGTCACCTCAGAGCTGGGTGTGTGCCAGAACTGAGTCACCCCAGCGCTGGGTCACTCCAAAAGCTTGAGTCACTTCAGGATTGGGTCACCCAGCCTGGTCTGCAGCCGAAGGTGCTTTGCCCAGGCGTTCTGTTTGTCTTCAATGTCCTCGATTCGAACGAGCCCTTCACAAAGTCCAGGATTTGAACGAGCCCTTCAGCAGGAAGTCCTCCTTCTTCGCCCCGTGATAGACTGGTGCTCCAGGCCATCGTCCGTGCACAGACTAAGGGTTCAATGCTGTTCTGATTTAAACGGAAAATACAATGTCTTGCTAAGATCAGCAGCCGAAGTTGCACACATCAATCTATTTGTCTTCAATGTCCTCGACTCGAACCAGCCCTTCGCAAAGTCCAGGTCTTGAACGAGCCCTCCAGGAAGTCCTCCTCCTTTGCCCCGACACACGAAATGGCCCGCCGGGCGGCTTTTCTTCTTGGTCCTCAAGACAAACATTTTCACTTCAGGTTGGCTGGCTTATTTGACTGCAGCCAAAGTCGCGCCATGACCGACCTCTCCAAGTAGTCCTCCTTCTGTATCTCCGGGATAAGCAAACTGGCCCTCCAGGAAGTCCTCCTTCTTTGTCCCCGGGATAAGCAAACTGGCCCTCCAGGAAGTCCTCCTTCTTTGTCATAAGCAAACTGGCCCTCCAGGAAGTCCTCCTTCTTTGTCCCCGGGATAAGCAAACTGGCCCTCCAGGAAGTCCTCCTTCTTTGTCCCCGGGATAAGCAAACTGGCCCTCCAGGAAGTCCTCCTTCTTTGTCCCCGGGATAAGCAAACTGGCCCTCCAGGAAGTCCTCCTTCTTTGTCCCCGGGAGAAGCAAACTGGCCCTCCAGGAAGTCCTCCTTCTTTGTCCCCGGGATAAGCAAACTGGCCCTCCAGGAAGTCCTCCTTCTTTGTCCCCGGGATAAGCAAACTGGCCCTCCAGGAAGTCCTCCTTCTTTGTCCCGGGATAAGCAAACTGGCCCTCCAGGAAGTCCTCCTTCTTTGTCCCCGGGATAAGCAAACTGGCCCTCCAGGAAGTCCTCCTTCTTTGTCCCCGGGATAAGCAAACTGGCCCTCCAGGAAGTCCTCCTTCTTTGTCCCCGGATAAGCAAACTGGCCCTCCAGGAAGTCCTCCTTCTTTGTCCCCGGGAAAGCAAACTGGCCCTCCAGGAAGTCCTCCTTCTTTGTCCCCGGATAAGCAAATTGGCCCTCCAGGGAAGTCCTCCTTCTTTGTCCCCGGAGAAGCAAACTGGCCCTCCAGGAAGTCTCCTTCTTTGTCCCCGGGATAAGCAAACTGGCCCTCCAGGAAGTCCTCCTTCTTTGTCCCCGGGATGAGCAAACTGGCCCTCCAGGAAGTCCTCCTTCTTTATCCCCAGGAGAAGCAAACTGGCCCTCCAGGAAGTCCTCCTTCTTTGTCCCCGGGAGGAGCAAATTGGCCCTCCAGGAAGTCCTCCTTCTTTGTCCCCAGAATGAGAAACTGGCCTTCCAGGAAGTCTCCTTCTTTGTTCCCGGGATAAGCAAACTGGCCCTCCAGGAAGTCCTCCTTCTTTGTCCCCGGGAGAAGCAAACTGGCCCTCCAGGAAGTCCTCCTTCTTTGTCCCCGGGATATGCAAACTGGCCTTCCAGTAATTCCTCCTTCTTTGTCCCCGGGATAAGCAAACTTGCCCTCCAGCAAGTCCTCCTTTTTTGTCCCCGGATAAGCAAACTGGCCCTCCAGGAAGTCCTCCTTCTTTGTCCTGGGATAAGCAAACTTGCCCTCCAGGGAGTCCCGGGACAAGCAAACTGGCCCTCCAGCAAGTCCTCCTTCTTTGTCCCCAGGATAAGCAAACTGGCCCTCCAGGAAGTCCTCCTTCTTTGTCCCCGGGATAAGCAAACTGGCCCTCCAGGAAGTCCTCCTTCTTTGTCCCCGGGACAAGCAAACTGGCCCTCCAGGAAGTCTTCCAACTGGCCCTCCAGGAAGTCCTCCTTCTTTGTCCCCGGGATAAGCAAACTGGCCCTCCAGGAAGTCCTCCTTCTTTGTCCCTGGGATAAGCAAACTGGCTGTCCGGGGAAGTCCTCCTTCTTTGTCCCCGGGATAAGCAAACTGGCCCTCCAGGAAGTCCTCCTTCTTTGTCAAACTGGCCCTCCAAGAAATCTTGCTTCTTTGTCCCCGGAATAAGAAACTGGCCTTCCAGGAAGTCTTCCTTCTTTGTTTTCAGGATAAGCAAACTGGCCCTCCAGGAAGTCCTCCTTCTTTGTCTCCGGGAAAAGCAAACTGGCCCTCCAGGAAGTCCTCCTTCTTTGTCCCCGGGAGAAGCAAACTGGCCCTCCAGGAAGTCCTCCTTCTTTGTTTCCGGGATAAGCAAACTGGCCCTCCAGGAAGTCCTCCTTCTTTGTCCCCGGGATAAGCAAACTGGCCCTCCAGGAAGTCCTCCTTCTTTGTCCCGGGATAAGCAAACTGGCCCTCCAGGAAGTCCTCCTTCTTTGTCCCCGGGATAAGCAAACTGGCCCTCCAGGAAGTCCTCCTTCTTTGTCGGCCCTCCAGGAAGTCCTCCTTCTTTGTCCCGGGATAAGCAAACTGGCCCTCCAGGAAGTCCTCCTTCTTTGTCCCCGGATAAGCAAACTGGCCCTCCAGGAAATCCTCCTTCTTTGTCCCGGGATAAGCAAACTGGCCCTCCAGGAAGTCCTCCTTCTTTGTCCCGGGATAAGCAAACTGGCCCTCCAGGAAGTCCTCCTTCTTTGTCCCCGGGATAAGCAAACTGGCCCTCCAAAAGTCCTCCTTCTTTACCCCCGCAATAAGCAAACTGGCCCTCCAGGAAGTCCTCCTTCTTTGTCCCCGGGATCAGCAAACTGGCCCTCCAGGCAAGTCCTCCTTCTTTGTCCCCGGGACAAGCAAACTGGCCCTCCAGGAAGTCCTCCTTCTTTGTCCCCGGATAAGCAAACTGGCCCTCCAGGAAGTCCTCCTTCTTTGTCCCCGGGATAAGCAAACTGGCCCTCCAGGAAGTCCTCCTTCTTTGTCCCTGGGATAAGCAAACTGGCCCTCCGGGGAAGTCCTCCTTCTTTGTCCCCGGGATAAGCAAACTGGCCCTCCAGGAAGTCCTCCTTCTTTGTCAAACTGGCCCTCCAAGAAATCTTGCTTCTTTGTCCCCGGAATAAGAAACTGGCCTTCCAGGAAGTCTTCCTTCTTTGTTTTCAGGATAAGCAAACTTGCCCTCCAGGAAGTCCTCCTTCTTTGTTTCCGGGAAAAGCAAACTGGCCCTCCAGGAAGTCCTCCTTCTTTGTCCCCGGAATAAGCAAGTCCTCCTTCTTTGTTTTCAAGGTAAACTGAGTGGCCCTCCAGGAAGTCCTCCTTCTTTGTCCCCGGGATAAGCAAACTGGCCCTCCAGGAAGTCCTCCTTCTTTGTCCTGGCATAAGCAAACTGGCCTTCCAGGAAGTCCTCCTTCTTTGTCCCCGGGATAAGCAAACTGGCCCTCCAGGAAGTCCTCCTTCTTTGTCCCCGGGATAAGCAAACTGGCCCTCCAAGAAGTCCTCCTTCTTTGTCCCCGGGAGAAGCAAACTGGCCCTCCAGGAAGTCATCCTGCTTTGTCCCCGGGATAAGCAAACTGGCCCTCAGGTGGCCCTCCAGGAAGTCCTCCTTGTTTGTCCTCGAACTGGCCCTCCAGGAAGTCCTCCTTCTTTGTCCCTGGGATAAGCAAACTGCCCTCCACCTCCTTCTTTGTCCCCGGGATAAGCAAACTGGCCCTCCAGGAAGCCTCCTTCTTTCTCCTCGGGATAAGCAAACTGGCCCTCCAGGAAGTCCTCCTTCTTTGTCCCCACCGGGAGAAGCAAACTGGCCCTCCAGGAAGTCCTCCTTCTTTGTCCCCGGGATAAGCAAACTGGCCCTCCAGGAAGTCCTCCTTCTTTGTCCCGGGAGAAGCAAACTGGCCCTCCAGGAAGTCCTCCTTCTTTGTCCCCGGGATAAGCAAACTGGCCCTACAGGAAGTCCTCCTTCTTTGTCCCCGGGATGTCCCCGGGATAAGCAAACTGGCCCTCAGGAAGTCCTCCTTCTTTGTGAGCAAATTCTTTGTCAAAGGGATAAGCAAACTGGCCCTCCAGGAAGTCCTCCTTCTTTGTCTCCGGGATAAGCAAACTGCCCTCCACCTCCTTCTTTGTCCCCGGGATAAGCAAACTGGCCCTCCAGGAAGTCCTCCTTCTTTGTCCCCGGGATAAGCAAACTGGCCCTCAGGAAGTCCTCCTTCTTTGTCCCCGGGATAAGCAAACTGGCCCTCCAGGAAATCCTCCGTCTTTTTTTTTTTGAACTGGCCCGCCAGGATGCTCCTTCCTTGAAAAGCCCAATTGTTCCTTTTTTGTCCCCAGATCAGCAAACTGGCCAAGAAATCCTTCTTCATTGTCACCGGAATAAGCAACACTTGCCCTCCAGAAAGCAGGAAGTCCTCCTTCTTTGTGCCCAAGATAAGCAATTGGCCCTCCAGGAAGTCCTCCTTTTTGACCCCCGCGATGTTCAGCAAACTCTCCAGGAAGTCTTCCTTCTTTGTGTCGGAACAAATTGGCCCTCCAAGAAGTCCTCCTTCTTCGTCCCCGAGACAAGAAAATTGGCCCTCCAGGAAGTCCTCCTTGTTTGTGTCCTCCAGGAAATCCTCCTCCTTCGTCCCGAAATAGGCGAATTGGCCCTCCAATAAGTCTTCCTTCAAATGCGCAAATTTGGCCCTCCTGGAAGTCCGCAAATTGGCCCTCCCGGACTTCTTTGCAATCGGGACAAGCGAAGGACCACATGTTCAATTTACTTAAACCTCCTTGCCCTGCGCAGGCACAAAGCCCAAAAGTCTTCTTTGTTCGATTTACTTAAACCTCCTCGCCTACGCAACCGCAAAGCAACTGACGACAACTCAACAAAAAGCTGCGCTGGCGCACAAGGGCGAAGCCCCTAAAAGTTTAGGGTTTAGGGTTTAGGGTTTAGGGTTTAGGGTTTAGGGTTTAGGGTTTAGGGTTTAGGGTTTAGGGTTTAGGGTTTAGGGTTTAGGGTTTAGGGGGGTTAGGGTTTAGGGTTTAGGTTTAGGGTGTTTAGGGTTTAGGGTTTAGGGTTTAGGGTTTAGGGTTTAGGGTTTAGGGTTTAGGGTTTAGGGTTTAGGGTTTAGGGTTTAGGGTTTAGGGTTTAGGGTTTAGGGTTTAGGGTTTAGGGTTTAGGGTTTAGGGTTTAGGGTTTAGGGTTTAGGGTTTAGGGTTTAGGGTTTAGGGTTTAGGGTTTAGGGTTTAGGGTTTAGGGTTTAGGGTTTAGGGTTTAGGGTTTAGGGTTTAGGGTTTAGGGTTTAGGGTTTAGGGTTTAGGGTTTAGGGTTTAGGGGTTAGGGTTTAGGGTTTAGGGTTTAGGGTTTAGGGTTTAGGGTTTAGGGTTTAGGGTTTAGGGTTTAGGGTTTAGGGTTTAGGGTTTAGGGTTTAGGGTTCGCCAGCGCAGCGTGGCGCCCAAGACATGTCTGGAGATATAGGAGAGGCAACCCTAAACCCCAAACTCACTAGGCCCCCTTTTCTGCTTTTGGAGGCTTGAGTAACTTTTTACGGGAGAAATTGGATTTTCAAAAGGCCTTAGACGCCTCCGGGCCGAAGGCTTCAAAAGTCTTTAGGAGGCACTAAAGTTTGACAAGGCTCTGACTGAGAAGCCGAGGAGGCAACTCCACACTCCAATCCCGCCCGGCTCGAAGAATGTTTTTCGGACGTAATCTTGCAGCTCCAAAAAGCCTTAAAAAGCTCCGGCCGACAGGCTCCAAAACCAAAACAAGGCTTGTTGCCCAAAAAAGGACCAAAAGGCAGCGTGGGAGGACCCCAAAAGGAGCTGGGAGTGCCCAAAGACGTCACCAAGAAACCCGCAAAAGGAGGGCTCAAAAAAAGGTGCACAACAAAAAGGGCCTCAACATTGGCCAAGGTGCAGCAGGATTGCCGCTTTATTCTTGGAAGCAGGTGCAAGGTTCTTTTGTTTCTCCACGGCAATCGGTTTCTGCAAGAAGAAGCGCTAGGCGTCCGACAAAATGGCTTCTTCCATAGCCCACGCTACTGGGATCAAATAAGGCGGCCCCTGTGCGTATGGCAGGAGACACTTGCGAATTGTTCTACGAAGCTTCCACCAAGCTCGCCGATGGTGCCGAGAGCGGTTGCCGAGGCGGCGTAGCTGTTGCCGATGATGCGAGACGGCGGCGACATCCTTGTGCAAAAGCTTGACCCATGCACAATCCGTGGAAGGGTGGTCAGCTCGACCGTAGTACTTGCAGGCGCGTAGGAACTGCTCGGACTCTTCACTCAGCTTTGTGATCTGGGGCGGTGGCCGCCCGGAGAGGAGCCGCCGCAGCCGCACCTTTCTCTTGTGCAGCCAGCTTGTCGTCTGCAAAAATCTGCTTCGCTCGCCTGCCTTGTAGCGCAACCTGATCTGTCTTGCTTCAGGTAGAACGACCAGTGAACTCATGACGAAGGCTGCTTTGTAGGTGGGAGAGCCTTGCTTTTGCCAGCCGATCAACCGTCGGACAATATGTCTGGTGCCAAAGCGGCTGTTCAAGGCGTGCTCTAGGGCTTGCACGCAGCAGAAAGCGCAGCAATTTCCATCTCGCTTCCTTTTGATATAAGCCCGACCACCCTTGCCGTCTTTGGCAAAAATGCATGGCGCAGCTGAACCGCCACTAGGGTCCTGGAAACCAGCGCAATATTGCGGCATGGCAGCGGCAGAGAACTGGACTTTCGCGTGGAGGACGCATGCGTGGGTTATGCTTGTATAGGCACGTGGTTTCTTCTATGCGTGTCCGTGGTTTTCATTGTGAGCCCAGCTGCATCACGCAATGTGGATGGGCTGTCACAGATAAAGTTTATGCGCCTTGCAAACAGCTCGCTTTCCGTGGAGATCAGCTGCACGTGCAACAGCGTCGACTCATAACACAAGCATGCACCCAATTTTTGTTTTGTCAGTGCGACTCGGGTGGCCGCGTGCTGTTCACTGGATCGCGGGCCGCAGAGCTATATGCACTTATGCCGGCAACTAGTCACTAGTCACTAGTCGGCGCCAGGACGGACTGCAGGTTGTTGTTCCTGCGCTAGAATGACTGTAGGCTGCTCCTGCAGCCAGTAAGCGAAGGCGTCGTCTAGGTGCCGCACGCTGAAGCGCAGCTCGACAGGCAAGCCGCCAAGCACGGTGTGCAGAACCTGCTTCACGCGGTCCTTGCTGCGTTCATCAAAAGCAAGGTCGTGCAGGAAGCGGCAGCGACCACAGGTTTGCCGAGGGACGTCGGCCTTCTCAAAGCCAGCTTTGAATGGATCAACCCCGCCAGAGAACTCGAGTCTGTACTTGTGATCTGCTGGTAGTTGTTGCAACTCACATGTGATATGCTCATGGCCACGTGGAGGCAGCACCCTGAATGGGTCTTGTAGCCCTGCGTAGAAGCCACTGTCGCACGCAATCTTCCACGGGGGTGGCAAGGGCTCTGCTGGACGCTCGCCGAGTGCCCAATCAACAGAAAATTCTGGAGGCATCTGCGTCAATAAGTTTTGACGAACTTTCTCTTGCATGACTAAGAGAATGACACGCAGAGCTTCGTAGGGCGTGTCCCCTGCAGCATACATCACAGGCACCCAGTCGTCTCGGCCCCAGGACATCTTGTCTGGATCTGGAGCTCCATTCAGCACCCTCACCTTTTTCGACTTCAGCAGCCCACGCAGATTGCGAGCGTCCGGACTTGGGTGGTGGTGTAGCGCCTTGATCATTGTGGCGATGAGGTGGTGGCCAAAGGAGCCCTCGCGTCCTGCGCCATCAACATGCACGACCAGGATTTGCCAGAGTGGGCCTGTCCCGCCAAGTGCCCAATTGGCCATCCCCCAGCGGCGAATTATTGCCACTAGAGGTTCTCCCGTAGGCTCGCCGCGCGCAGCTTCCTCACGCTTGGCAGCCTTGCAACGCCATTCTGGCAGCATTTGGCGCACATATTCGTCCTCACGCAACCAACCTGCGCGGGTCTTGCGCTTGAACGCCATGGCTAGCGGAGGCGAGCGGATAGCAGCAGCTTTGGCGGGACTTTGGAGCTTGGACCAACTGGGCTCTACGAACGCTCAAACTCACTGCAATGCGCGTGCAACAAGCCTGCAGCGCTTGAGTCTCTATTTCACTCTATTTTGCGCCTCACCTTTCTTTCGCTTCTTTGTGCCTGATATTCTGTGTTTCTGACACAAACCATCGCAAGTTGGCCTTCTGAGAAGTCTTTCTTCTTTGCCCAAGCTCACTTCAGGATGCCTGACTGCAGCCGAAACTGCACCAATCATTACCAAGCCCTCCTTCTTTGTCCCCGGCAACAAAGGATTCAATGTAATGTTGCTATTTAAAAGAAAAAAGAAAAACAAATTCCTTGCTAAGACCAGGTCACTCCATGCCCGAATCACCTCAAGTATGGATTACCCCAACGACTGGGTCACCTCAGAGCTGGGTGTGTGCCAGAACTGAGTCACCCCAGCGTCGGGTCACTCCATAAGCTTGAGTCACTTCAGGATTGGGGCACCCAGGCTTGTCTGCAGCCGAAGGTGCTCTGCCCAAGCGTTCTATTTGTCTTCAATGTCCTCGACTCAAACCAGCCCTTCACAAAGTCCAGGTCTTGAACGAGCCCTTCAGGAAGTCCTCCTTCTTCGTCCCGTGATAAACTGGTGCTCCAAGCATCTCCAGGCCATCGTCCGCGCACAGAGGAAGGATTCAATGTAATGTTGTTGTTACTAAAAAGAAAAAGCAAAGCCTTGCTGAGACCAGGTCACCCCGCACCCGAATCACCTCAAGCATGGATCACCCCAACGGACTGGGTCACCTCAGAGCTGGGTACGCCAGAACTGAGTCACCCCAGCGTTGGGTCACTCCATAAGCTTGAGTCACTTCAGGATTGGGGCACCCAGGCTTGTCTGCAGCCGAAGGTGCTTTGCCCAAGCGTTCTATTTGTCTTGAATGTCGTTGATTCGAACTAGCCCGTCACAAAGTCCAGGATTTGAACGAGCCCTCCAGCAGGAAGTCCTCCTTCTTCGCCTCGTGATAGACTGGTGCTCCAGGCCATCGTCCGTGCACAGACAAAGGGTTCAATGCTCTGTTCTGATTTAAAACGAAAATACAATGTCTTGCTAAGATCAGCAGCCGAAGTTGCACACATCAATCTATTTGTCTTCCATGTCCTCGACTCGAACCAGCCCTTCACAAAGTCCAGGTCTTGAACGAGCCCTCCAGGAAGTCCTCCTCCTTTGCCCCGACACACGAAATGGCCCGCCGGGAGGCTTTTCTTCTTGGTCCTTAAGACAAACATTTTCACTTCGGGTTGGCTGGCTTATTTGACTGCAGCCAAAGACCTCCAAGTAGTCCTCCTTCTGTCCTTCCAGGAAGTCCTCCTTCTTTGTCCTCGGGATAAGCGCCCCGGATAAGCAAACTGGCAGTCCAGGAAGTCCTGCTTCTTTGTTACCGGGATAAGCAAACTGGCCCTCCAGGAAGTCAGTCATCCTTCTTTGTCCCCGGGAAGTCCTCCTTCTTTGTCCCGGGATAAGCAAACTGGCCCTCCAGGAAGTCCTCCTTCTTTGTCCCCGGGATAAGCAAACTGGCCTTCCAGGAAGTCCTCCTTCTTTGTCCCCGGGATAAGCAAACTGGCCCTCCAGGAAGTCCTCCTTCTTTGTCCCCGGGATAAGCAAACTGGGCCTCCAGGAAGTCCTCCTTCTTTGTCCTGGGATAATCAAACTGGCCTTCCAGGAAGTCCTCCTTCTTTGTCCCTGGGATAAGCAAACTGGCCCTCCAGGAAGTCCTCCTTCTTTGTCCCCGGGATAAGCAAACTGGCCCTCCAGGAAGTCCTCCTTCTCTGTCCCGGGATAAGCAAACTGGCCCTCCAGGAAGTCCTCCTTCTTTGTCCCCGGGATAAGCAAACTGGCCCTCCAGGAAGTCCTCCTTCTTTGTCCCCGGAATAAGCAAACTGGCCCTCCAGGAAGTCCTCCTTCTTTGTCCCCGGGATCAGCAAACTGGCCCTCCAGGAAGTCCTCCTTCTTTGTTTCGGGATAAGCGAACTGGCCCTCCAGGAAGTCCTCCTTCTTTGTCCCCGGATAAGCAAACTGGCCCTCCAGGAAATCCTCCTTCTTTGTCCCGGGATAAGCAAACTGGCCCTCCAGGAAGTCCTCCTTCTTTGTCCCGGGATAAGCAAACTGGCCCTACAGGAAGTCCTCCTTCTTTGTCCCCGGGATAAGCAAACTGGCCCTCCAAAAGTCCTCCTTCTTTACCCCCGCAATAAGCAAACTGGCCCTCCAGGAAGTCCTCCTTCTTTGTCCCCGGGATAAGCAAACTGGCCCTCCAGGCAAGTCCTCCTTCTTTGTGCCCGGGATAAGCAAACTGGCCCTCCAGGAAGTCCTCCTTCTTTGTCCCCGGATAAGCAAATTGGCCCTCCAGGGAAGTCCTCCTTCTTTGTCCCCGGAGAAGCGAACTGGCCCTCCAGGAAGTCTCCTTCTTTGTCCCCGGGATAAGCAAACTGGCCCTCCAGGAAGTCCTCCTTCTTTGTCCCCGGGATGAGCAAACTGGCCCTCCAGGAAGTCCTCCTTCTTTATCCCCAGGAGAAGCAAACTGGCCCTCCAGGAAGTCCTCCTTCTTTGTCCCCGGGAGGAGCAAATTGGCCCTCCAGGAAGTCCTCCTTCTTTGTCCCCAGAATGAGAAACTGGCCTTCCAGGAAGTCTCCTTCTTTGTTCCCGGGATAAGCAAACTGGCCCTCCAGGAAGTCCTCCTTCTTTGTCCCCGGGAGAAGCAAACTGGCCCTCCAGGAAGTCCTCCTTCTTTGTCCCCGGGATATGGGAGATAAGCAAACTGGCCCTCCAGGAAGTCCTCCTTCTTTGTCCTGGGATAAGCAAACTTGCCTCCAGGGAGTCCCGGGACAAGCAAACTGGCCCTCCAGCAAGTCCTCCTTTTTTGTCCCCGGATAAGCAAACTGGCCCTCCAGGAAGTCCTCCTTCTTTGTCCTGGGATAAGCAAACTGGCCCTCCAGCAAGTCCTCCTTCTTTGTCCCCAGGATAAGCAAACTGGCCCTCCAGGAAGTCCTCCTTCTTTGTCCCCGGGATAAGCAAACTGGCCCTCCAGGAAGTCCTCCTTCTTTGTCCCCGGGACAAGCAAACTGGCCCTCCAGGAAGTCTTCCAACTGGCCCTCCAGGAAGTCCTCCTTCTTTGTCCCCGGGATAAGCAAACTGGCCCTCCAGGAAGTCCTCCTTCTTTGTCCCTGGGATAAGCAAACTGGCTGTCCGGGGAAGTCCTCCTTCTTTGTCCCCGGGATAAGCAAACTGGCCCTCCAGGAAGTCCTCCTTCTTTGTCAAACTGGCCCTCCAAGAAATCTTGCTTCTTTGTCCCCGGAATAAGAAACTGGCCTTCCAGGAAGTCTTCCTTCTTTGTTTTCAGGATAAGCAAACTGGCCCTCCAGGAAGTCCTCCTTCTTTGTTTCCGGGAAAAGCAAACTGGCCCTCCAGGAAGTCCTCCTTCTTTGTCCCCGGGATAAGCAAACTGACCCTCCAGGAAGTCCTCCTTCTTTGTCCCCGGGATAAGCAAACTGGCCCTCCAGGAAGTCCTCCTTCTTTGTCCCGGGATAAGCAAACTGGCCCTCCAGGAAGTCCTCCTTCTTTGTCCCCGGGATAAGCAAACTGGCCCTCCAGGAAGTCCTCCTTCTTTGTCCCCGGGATAAGCTTTGTCGGCCCTCCAGGAAGTCCTCCTTCTTTGTCCCGGGATAAGCAAACTGGCCCTCCAGGAAGTCCTCCTTCTTTGTCCCCGGATAAGCAAACTGGCCCTCCAGGAAATCCTCCTTCTTTGTCCCGGGATAAGCAAACTGGCCCTCCAGGAAGTCCTCCTTCTTTGTCCCGGGATAAGCAAACTGGCCCTCCAGGAAGTCCTCCTTCTTTGTCCCCGGGATAAGCAAACTGGCCCTCCAAAAGTCCTCCTTCTTTACCCCCGCAATAAGCAAACTGGCCCTCCAGGAAGTCCTCCTTCTTTGTCCCCGGGATCAGCAAACTGGCCCTCCAGGCAAGTCCTCCTTCTTTGTCCCCGGGACAAGCAAACTGGCCCTCCAGGAAGTCCTCCTTCTTTGTCCCCGGATAAGCAAACTGGCCCTCCAGGAAGTCCTCCTTCTTTGTCCCCGGGATAAGCAAACTGGCCCTCCAGGAAGTCCTCCTTCTTTGTCCCTGGGATAAGCAAACTGGCCCTCCGGGGAAGTCCTCCTTCTTTGTCCCCGGGATAAGCAAACTGGCCCTCCAGGAAGTCCTCCTTCTTTGTCAAACTGGCCCTCCAAGAAATCTTGCTTCTTTGTCCCCGGAATAAGAAACTGGCCTTCCAGGAAGTCTTCCTTCTTTGTTTTCAGGATAAGCAAACTTGCCCTCCAGGAAGTCCTCCTTCTTTGTTTCCGGGAAAAGCAAACTGGCCCTCCAGGAAGTCCTCCTTCTTTGTCCCCGGGATAAGCAAGTCCTCCTTCTTTGTTTTCAAGGTAAACTGAGTGGCCCTCCAGGAAGTCCTCCTTCTTTGTCCCCGGGATAAGCAAACTGGCCCTCCAGGAAGTCCTCCTTCTTTGTCCTGGCATAAGCAAACTGGCCTTCCAGGAAGTCCTCCTTCTTTGTCCCCGGGATAAGCAAACTGGCCCTCCAGGAAGTCCTCCTTCTTTGTCCCCGGGATAAGCAAACTGGCCCTCCAAGAAGTCCTCCTTCTTTGTCCCCGGGAGAAGCAAACTGGCCCTCCAGGAAGTCATCCTGCTTTGTCCCCGGGATAAGCAAACTGGCCCTCAGGTGGCCCTCCAGGAAGTCCTCCTTGTTTGTCCTCGAACTGGCCCTCCAGGAAGTCCTCCTTCTTTGTCCCTGGGATAAGCAAACTGCCCTCCACCTCCTTCTTTGTCCCCGGGATAAGCAAACTGGCCCTCCAGGAAGCCTCCTTCTTTCTCCTCGGGATAAGCAAACTGGCCCTCCAGGAAGTCCTCCTTCTTTGTCCCCACCGGGAGAAGCAAACTGGCCCTCCA